ATTTATTTCAAGGGTTCTTGGAACGATTAAAAATAAAAAAATGCATGAATCTGCAGATTTTTTTAGAACTATTTTTATGAACTTCTCGGGTATATGATTTTTAAAGAGCTTCATGAGAAACAAATTTTTTTTGTTATTATTTTTTGTGGTTTTAAGTTTTTTCACGGGCTTCTTGGTGAAATTTTTAATTTTGTTGTACATTTACAGGGTGAGATAAAAAACTACAACAAAGTCAAACGCCACAGATTTTTACATGTTCTTTTTAATTTAATTGAATGAATGCAAAAAATGTCGAAAATGGCATTTAATTATACCCTACAACACTATGTGTTGGGGGTATTATAAGTTTGATTGGGCCAGAATTTATGTAACACCTCGAAATATTGGTTTCCCATATAGGAAAGTATATATGGATCTTCCTAGCTCGCCGAGCTGAGTCGATCTAGCTATGTATGTCCGTCCGTCTGTCCATGTTAATTTGTAATCACTCTACAGGTCGCAATTATGGCCCGATCTTCGCGAAATTTAAAATGTAGGTGGGATTAATGTCAGAATAGAACCCTATTTATTTTTGAGATGATCGCCAAATGTTTAGGGGTTGAAATGGACCAAATACCGATAAAATGTCGGATTTTGCAGTTGCTATACAGGTCGCAATTATAGACCAATCGACGCGGAATTTCGCATGTAGCTAGAGTTTAGGACGGGGAAGAAGCCTACCAATTTGGGTGGTCATCGGATAATATTTAGCGGGTAAAATAGACCATATATTTTGTGTTGAAAAAATTCAAAATTTTTCATTAAACCGCGAATATTTTAAATCCCGGCGAAATCCCAAAGCCATCACAAGGTTACTTCTGACCTTTACATTGATGTTAACATCCAACAAATCGGATATATAGCAAAATATGTGCGATATATATGTCTATCAAAGAAAATATGCTTGAAAGATCTCTTATATGTCGAGAACGTCTGAACTGATTTCTACAGTTCTCATTAATTCAGAATGGCCTCTTGTTAGGAAAGAAAAAACGTCTAAAAAATCGCATAAAAATATCTCTCTAAAGATAAAAATATTGGATTTGTAACATTTTCTCATATTTCTTCAATTTTGTCATATTTTTGTCATATTTTCATTTTGAATTAAACATTTGGTAATATTTCTACAGCTAACAAAACTAAGTAGTTAGGATATCAGGATATCATATACAGATCGCATTTATGACCCGATCCTTACGAAATTTTGCATGGGGATAAGATGAGGGTCAGAATAGAAGCCTACTCTTTTTGGAGATGATGGCCATATATTTAGGGGTTGAAATGGACCAAAAAACTGCAAAATTGTCACCAGGTCGTAAATATCGCCCGATCCTCACGCTCACTTGAATGTGGGTTACCGGACATTGTAAAAGCCAAGCAGTTTTGGATGGCCATCCAAAAATATTCAATGTGTGAAATAGTTTGCCAACTTTTGTCGACAAAATACGAAAATGTCCATTACAGTGACTTCTTGCAGAATTCACAAATCTAGGAAAGACGTTAACACTGATTTAGTTGAAGAATATAGTCAAATGGCTGTATCTCATATAGATGCGTTTCAGTCAAAAACCAATAATAAATTTTAATCTTTTGCCACTTCTGACAGATTATGGGTCTTTAGGAAATATTGGTTCCAGATCTAGGAAGACCATTTACGTGCAACATCTACCTATAAATTGGAAATGAGCAAATTAGTTTAAGTTGCTATTATTCGAAAATTAGAGAACGAAACCTCGCCTATATAAACTGTATTGTTTATTGTAGTGTTGTAGGGTATTCAACGGTCGGGCCCGCTCGACTGTAGCCTTTGCTTACTTGTTTTAGAATAAGTTTGGATTTGTTCGAATTGGTCACCTTTGGCACGAATTGTGACTTCCAAACGGCCAATGAAACTGTCACACGCTGGCCAGCGCTTGAGTTCTGATGGCCAACCGAAGGTGCACATTTTCAGCTGACCTCTTTGGCAAGTAAACGCGATAATTTTGTTTGTTTACAAGCTGGTGGACAACGTATGCTTTCTCATCGGAGAAAACCAAATTCGGTAGTTCACCACATTCGGCCAAGCCAAGCAACACTTTAGCTCTTTTGAGTCAATTTTTTTTCCGTTTCGGTGTAAGTTCTTGCACTTTTTGGAATTTCAATGACTTGCCGAATGGGATATTGACAGATCACGAACCATTTTTCGGCCATTTCGACGCGGATTTCTGTAAAATATCTTCTTTACTTTTCGAACCATTTCTGCTGATGTTGCTGTTTTCTTCCGTTCAATTACTTGACGTCGGACTACGCTACCAGTATCACGGTAACGAGCGATGGTACGAGACACAAATGATTTATTCACAGTTAAATGCTGAAGTGCTCTAACGATAGCCACTTGTGGTTTTCCAGCCAAATATATCACACTATCACTCTTGAATTCCATCACGAATAACTTTTTTGTGGACAAGTCTCACCAAAATGCGTTTGTACGCTTGTAAACAGAATAATGAGCTGTCACTGAAATAATTTTAACAGCTGTCGGACGAGTGGCTTAGAAATGACAGCAGTCTGAAGTTGGTTGCAGTTTTTTTTATCTTAGCCTGTATTTAAAGGACTATTTGCCAACATATGGTGGCAAAGCCGTTAGTTCGGGCGGGCCGAACTTGGGAACGAATTTGGCAATTCTCAAAAACAATAAAATCCGTTAAAAATGCTGTTAAAATCTTAAAAAACCGAATATATCTGTTACATTAGGGTCTATACGACGACATGGACCTGCACAGATAACTTTTGTCATAAGCCATTACGATATTCAAATTCGAAACCTAAAATATCAGTGAATCATCATCATCATCAAAATACCTAATATCGGGAGGTACCGTTATATGGGGGCTATACGAAGACGTGGACCTGTACAGACAATTTTCTGTCATAGGCTGTAGTATCCATTACGAACTTCAAATACAAAATTTGAAACAATTCCGGTGAATAATGTCGCTAAAATCATCAAAATACCGAATATCGGCAGGTACCGTTATATGGTGGCTATACGAAGACGTAGACCTGAACAGATAATATTCTGTCAGAGGCTGTAGTATCGACTACGAACGTCAAATACCAAATTTGAAAAAATTCCGGTGAATAATATAGCTAAAATCAACAAAGTACCTAGAATCGGAAGTTACAGTTATATGAGGGCTTTACGAAGACGTGGACCTGTACAGACAATTTTCTGCTATAAACTGTGGTATTCATTACGAACTTCAAATACCAAATTTGAAACACCAATTCCGGTGAAAAATGTCGCTAAAATCATCAAAATACCGAATATCGGGAGGTACAATTATATGGGGTCTATACCAAAACGTAGATCTAGATGGCCCATTTTCAATACCAAAAGTCCTGCAGACATAACATACATTTGTGTAAAATTGTATCAATCTACTTCACTTCGTTCTGAAGCTAGAGTGATTGCGGCAGACGGACAGACATCGCTAAATCGACATATAATTTTATGCTGACCAAGAATATATATACTTTGTGGGGTCTACAGTGTATATTTCGAGGTGTTACAAACGGAATGACAAACATAATATACCCTACATACTGTGGTGGTGGGTATAAAAAGGATTTTGAAAGTTTTTTAATGACTTGCACGTTTTTGACTCATATTGATAAATTTTATAAAAATTCTAATTTCTAAGACTTTTAAAGTGATCTAAGACTTTAAAAATATAATTCAAGGTTAAAACAAATCTGGTAAAAGTGAATTTTTTAGAAGTTATTCTCAATGACTTTTAGAAACCAGGTTCATTGTTAAATTTTTTTAATCAAAACGAAATTTAGGATATCCCATCTGACAGAAGACATATTGTCAACTTTCTGTCAAAGGTAGTCTTCATGTTCAAGGTTTTATATATATTTTATATAAATTCAATGCAAGACCAGTTCCTTGATAACCATTTTAGCACCACCTAGTATTTTTCAAACAATTTTTTATTACAGCTCTATTCCTTTACTCAATACCAAATTTAGTACTTTTTAGTTCTATTCGAACAATTATATAACACATTTCTAAAACCACGTCAATATCTCACTATATATCACTATATTTCATGAATCCAGCCCTATCCCTTCAGTTAATACCAAATTAGTACCAATCAGTAGTTTTCGTACAATTATAGCATACATTTTCGAAACCATCTCCATATGTCCAGGCTAGATTTAAAACACTAACTGTTCATCCAATACCCAACAGTACCAAATATAGTACTTTTTGTACACTTGTAGCACAAATTTCCCAAACCTCTTTGTCACAAATTTACCACCAAAAATTCAAAATTCTAGCTCCAGCCGTTCACCCTAAACCAAACTTTTCCAAATTTGGTACCATTTTGTACCGTTCGGACACTCAGTACACATTTCCAAACCCACCTTAATTTATGAAACTTACTTTCTAACCTGCATTCACATATTAAGTTTTTAGCTTTATCCCTTCACAAAAAACCCTTTGATATATCTATCCTGCCTTTGATCAGTAACTCTGATTCCAAATTTAAGAAATCTAGCTCATTCCGTTTGCCCAATACTAAGTACTCAACTTTTAGTTCATTTTACTATTTTTTGTACCCGTTTAGTACGAATTAAAAAAAAAAAAAAAAAAAAAAAAAACAGCATTACCACACGGTTACGCACCAATACTTACCCTTGTGTAAAATTTCAGTTTCAGTTTGTAGCAAGATTTGCCTTGTTCGAGATTCAAGTTTCTCTTTTTATTGCATATCATTGGTCCACCCCACTGGACCTCGATAGGGCTACTAAAGGCTAAAGTTCTTTAGCAGTCGCTTTGAAGTGGCTTTGCTTTGTGATATGTTTTCCAGCTCACTTTTGAGTTCATCTTAAACGAAGTTTAACCTTCTTTAACCCCCTCCCTTCATATCCACGTAAATCGAACAAACCATGTTCTTAAGGAATGATTGCATTCAATCAAATTCTTTATATATTTTAATTTACAATTTCTAAATACAATTCTTAAAAATAAACTTATATTTAATACCAATTTTTGTATGGCAATGACCCTTCATTATCCCGCTGCAAACCACAAGGACGATGGAATTCCTGACCTTTTGTGCTGAACCATTCATTGCAAACTGTAAAAGAGAATATAGTAATTAGAATATTTATTTCTAGGGAATATTTTCAGATGAGAACCTACTCCATTTGGAACCATGAAGCACTGGGCAGCCAGCATGCCATGTTCGATAGTCTCTATCGAGAGACTTATGGAAATTATGCCATACAACCATGCTACCTTTTATTGGTGGAACAGCCAAACGCAAAGCAGGAAAGGCGGTCGAACCACCCAACTCTACGTCATTAATCTAAAATTTGATAAAAATTAAAATTATTGTAAAAAGTTGGAGGTAAATAAATACTTACATAAAACAAGGCCGTGAGAATACGGTTACCGGTCTTCCAATCCTCCACAGTTGACTGAAAATAAATGTGAAAAAATTATTTATTTTTTTTTGTAATGCAGATTTAAACCCTGTGTTTTAACTCACCGCATGAAAATCATGATGTGGCCCATAATGTCCACCAATTCCATAGTTGGCGACCTGTAACTGTTCTCCGGTTTCCATGGTCAAACCAGTTATGTCCTCCAAACGCTGAGTGATGGCATCCAAAAATCTATGCTCTTTAAAATCCAACCAAGAATTCTTACTAATCCGAATCTCATCGTATCGTGAGTGGGTGTTTCCGCCAACTTTCGACCGTTCAATGGAATCTTCAACAGAACTGATTATTCGGTCGATTTCATTATCGTAAATAACTTGATGATAGAAAGCCACAAAGGGATCTGTATTCAATTCCTCCATCTTCAGTGGACCCAAAAAGTAGAATGGTACATTGTTGGTAACATAGCGACAGCGTAAGTGTCGTTGTTCTCGCGGTGTCTGTTGGACCTCACCGCTACAAACTTGATGGTATAGAAGTTGGTATTTGGATATCGGCGTTGCAGGTTTGTCCAGTACACGTTTACGTCTTTCATTGCGTACACCATTGGCATAGAGATCTTTATTTCCCAATCCGTAGAAATTCTTTGGATCAAGTTGGAGTAATTTGTCGTTGAAAACTGCAGCGGCCTTTGGATTGCCAGCACTGTATAAACTGGCGGGTAGGTATTCTAAAATTTGTTCTTTGGTAACATATGGATATATGCCATTATCATTGTCCAATTTATTGTTCCATAAATCTTCATCTTCATATTCTTCAGCGTTTTCTATAATATCCTCATAGTCATCGTCTCCAAGGGTAGTGTTAATTTGAAAATCATCAAACATATCATCATCGTATTCTTCTGGTAAATCTTCTACATATCCGTCTTCCATTTCATTTTCTTCGAAATCAAATTTATCTGGCAAATTTTCCACATCATCTCTGGGCAAATTTTCCAATTCCTCCAATTTGACAAGAGCCTCAAGCAGCCATTCACTGGCCAATTTGAATTCTCCCGCCTCATAGAGATTTTTTCCCAAAATATAACAATTATAAGCCGACATTGCAGAACTGTATTTTTGACCTATCAGAACACCTCTTGCCATATCCCCAGTATCTAGTTTATACATCTTTTGAAGACGCGCAAAGCCCATGGATGCACCTCGCAAATCATTGTCCGTTGGCATTGTTGATAACTTCAGAGTTGATGCCGATTCATTGAAAACTATAAAGGCGGAAAGTTAAATGTTTGATATATTTGCAATTTAAAAACAAAATTGTTTTACCTCGTAGATTTGCAATATCGGTCGTTAGTTTATTCAACTGCGACATATCGACAACAACCCTGCGTATCATCTTAAAAGCATTAACAGGATATTCCAAATGCTGGGTACTATTGTGATTGTCCTGGGCATGCTCAGATTCAATTTCATTCAGGAGGCTACATTAAATGCATATAATTATTTTAAATGGGAATTGATGAAGTTGACCGGCCAAATTGACCGATCTACGAGGGAAGTTAGGAAAAAAGTGCGGTATAAACTGAAAAAAGTTAAGTGTTTTTGATTCCATCTCTGTTATGAACACATGTTTAATTTTGTTTCGATCTGGCAACTCGTTCATATGGAAACAGGTGTTCAAAAAAGACGCATCCGCACTTTTTATACCCTACACTAGAAGGTGGTCAGGGTATTATGTCTTTGTGCATTTGTTCGTAACAAGCAAAAGAAAACGAGATAGATCAATAGTTCCTTTTGATGATCTGCATAGAAAAAAATTTTGAGTCGATTTGTCCGTCCGTACAGGTCGTATTTATTGCCCGATCTAAAGAATTTTCTAGAAAAAAAGTTATTTGTAATGGAATTCAATCGCGATTGTGTGATTTCTTTATATTTGGCTGGAAAACCACAAGTGGCTATCGTTAGAACACTCCAGAATTTAAATGTGAATAAAGTTTTGTGTCTCGTACCATCGGTCGTTACTGTGATACTGGTAGCGTTGCCCGACGTCAAGTAAATGGGCGGAAGAAAACAGCAATATCAGCAGGAATGGTTCGAAAGTAAAGAAGCGGCTTGATCGAAACCCGTATCGTAGTGGCGGAAAAATGGCTCGTGAGCTGAACATATCACAATATTCCATTCCAAAAAGTGCAAGAACTTACTCTGCAACAGAACGAAATAGACTCAAAAGATGTAAAGAGTTGCTTCGCTTGGCAAAAAGGGGAGAACTGCCGAATTTTGTTTTCTTCGATGAGAAAACATTCGTTGTCCAGAAGTTTGTAAACAAAAAAATGCTCGTGCTTACTTGCCAAGGAGGTCAGCTGAAAATGTGCACCTTCGGTTGGCCACCAGAACTCAAGCGCGGGCCATCGTAATGGTGTGGGCCGCCATAAGAGCCGATGGTCGCTCTCCGCTATTCTTCGCTTCATTTCCAGCGCACAATGGCCACCAAAATCTCCGGATACCAATCCGTTGGGCTATTGTGTCTGGAGTATTTTGGAAATCAAGGTTGGCACTAAGCCACACCTCAAGCAAGCGCTTCGCGGGGAATGGTCCAAAATATAGCAAAGCAACATTCGGGCAGCGTGTGACGGTTTCATTGGCCATTTGAAGGCCATACATAATTCGTGCCAAAGATGACCAATTCGAACAAAAATTATGGCCTTTGACTTTGTTTGTTTTATTATCTCACCCTGTATATCATAAATGCAGGGATTCCGAGGAATCTTAATCCGAATATATCTAAAATGTAAAAGAGGGGCGAACCTGTCCCTTCTATTTCATTTACCTTTCGATGCAAACATTCAAAATGCCTGTACACATATCCTCATTTTTATACCCTACACCAAAAGGTGGTCAGGGTATTATGTCTTTGTGCATTTCTTTGTAACAGGCAGAAAGAAACGAGATGGGCCCATGGTTCCTTTTGATGATCTGCATAGAATCACATTCTGAGTCGATTTATACATGTCCGTCCGTCCGTCTGTCCATGTATTTTTGTGAACAAGGTAAAGTTCGCATTTATTGCCCGATCCAGATGAAATTTTGCACAGATAATTTGTTTGGCCCAAGGACAAATCCTATTGAAATTGGAGATAATCGGTCAAAATTTAGATATAGCTCCCATATATATCTTCGTCCGATTTGCCTTTTATTGTGCACCAAATGCGTAATATCAGCCCAAATAGTATGGAATTTTGCACATACAACCAAATTAGGCCTAAAAATTAGTATGCCAAATTGCATCGAAATCGGTTCAGATATAGCTATAGCTCCCATATATATTGTTCATCCGATTTGTTATTTTTGTCTACCGCCGCCGTAATATGCACTCTGCAACAACAATGTTTGGGGAAATATATCAAATACAGCTCAGAAATACATTTGCTAAATTTTATCGAAATCGGTTCAGATTTGGATATAGCTCCCATATATAACTTCGTCCGATTTACCTTTTATTGTGCACCAAACGTCTAATATTTGTCCAAATGGGATGGAATTTGACACTTACGACCGAATTGAGTCTAAAAGCTAGTATGTCAAATTTGGTGAAGATCGCTTCAGATATAGCTATAGCTTCCATATATATTATTCGTCAGATTTGTTATATTTGTTACCCACAACCGTAATATGCACTCCGTAACAACGATATTCAGGGAAATATATCAAATACAGCTCAGAAATATCTTTGCCAATTTTTATCGAGATCGGTTCAGATTTGGATATAGCTTTGAAATTAATTGTGCACCAAATGCGCAATACAATTCCGAATTTAAAAGATACAAATGCTTCGGCAAATTTAGTCCTTTGAACTTTAAGTTATAATTATAATCATAGCGTAATCCGTCATGATCGGATGGATTTCCCCTGCTATTATTTTTTGTGTTGCACGGTGTAGTTGTACAGTCCAATGTTATTTTAAACGATTATTCTAAATAATATGTATTTTATATCATTAAACTATTGAACTCTACAGTGGTTCTTTCACTATTACATCCATGTGAACCAAATCTAACTATGCCTTCTTAAACATTTAAAAAATACAAGGTCATAATTTCAAAACTTTTTTTTTGCAAAATTCTTTGAAGTTAATTGATTATGTAGTTGTACCTTTTTATTTGTTATTAAAAAGTTCAAACCCCATTTTATTACCTTTTAAATTGATTGTGAACGGTCTCCATTGCAACTAAATGTTTCTCCATTGCCTTCATGTAATGATCTTCGACAGCAAGTAATTCCTCCAGACCAGATATTGAAGTATAAAAATCACAGTATGCTATACCAAAAATGGTAAAAATTACAAATAAATTAAAAATATTTTTTAATAATCTCATTTTCGAAGAGGCTTTATAGCCTTGTTAACACTATTCAAAAGATGTTTCTAAACTAATTTTTTGGATGGTATAAAAACTTGAAATGAGGTGAAATTGATGGAAAAAAATTGTGTGGGTTAATGTATGAACAGGTGTTTTATTTAGTGTAGACATTATTTGACAACCTGTTTGGAGGAATGAGGTACACGAGCTCATCTTTTTTTTCTTGTTATTCTTATTGTTTGTTTATTTAGGTTATGTGGAGCAAGTGAAATTTGGAAATTTGAAAGAAATTCCCTTACAGAAGTTGTTCATGGGAAAATCAATCATATGTCCTTCGCATCGAAATAAAATGTTGAAATTTTTGAGACACAAATCATATCAACATTTTTTGAAAATGCAATTCAAAGCATTTTAATTGTACCTTGAAAATTACAGGGTGAGATAAAAAACTGCAGTAAATTTAAAAGCCATAATTTTTACATTATTTTTTAAATTTTATTGAATGAATGCAAAAAATGTCGGAAATAGCATCAAATTTTAGAATAAGTATAGATTTGTTCGAATTGGTCACCTTTGGCACGAATTATAGCCTTAAAACGGCCAATGACACCGTCACACGCTGTCCGAATGTTGCTCTGCTGTATTTTGGCCACTCCCGGCGAAGCGCTTGCTTTAGGTGATGGACACTTTGGAATTTTTTAGTGCCAACCTTGATTTCCAAAATACTCTAGACATAATAGTCGGGTATCCGAGGAATCTCACTTTGTAACCATTCTTGGGTGGCGCGTGCTGAGTGCGATGGTGTTGAGTCCTGTTGGAATGTCGAAGGTATGCGGCCAAAATATTTGCGTGCCCAAGGCTTCAATACACCCTCCAGAATATTTTCGCGATAATATTCGGCATTTATTCTGATGCCACGGTCGATTAATACGAGTGGAGAGCGTCCATCGGCTGTTATGGTGGCCACACCATCTCCATGGCCGGCGCTTGAGTTCTGATGGCCAACCGAAGGTGCACATTTTCAGCTGAAATCTTTGGCAAGTAAACACGATCATTTTGTTAGTTTAGAAACGGCTGGACAACGAATGTTTTCTCATCGGAGAAAACCTAATTCGGCAGTACACTCTCTCTAGTCTACTTTTTTTTCTGTTGCGGTGTAAGTTCTTGTATTTTTTACCACGAGATCATTTTTCAATATTTGCCGAATGGAATATTGCGATATGTTCAGCTCACGAGCCATTTTCGGCCACTGCGGCCCGGATTTCGATCAAGTCGCTTCTTTACTTTTCGAAGCATTTCTGCTGATGTTGCTGCTTTCTTTCGTCCACTTCCTTGACGTCGGGCTACGCTACCAGTATCACGGTAACGAGCGATGGTACGAGACGCAAAATATTTATTCACATTTAAATGCTGTAGTGCTCAAACGATTGCCACTTGTGGTTTTCTAGCCAAATATCAAGAAATCACACTATCTCGCTTGAATTCCATCACGAATAACTTTTTTTCTGGAAAGTTCTCACCAAAATGCTTTTGTACGCTTGTTAACAATATAATGAGCTGTCACTGAAATGATTTTGAACAGCTGTCGGACGAGTGGCTTAGAAATAACAGCAGTCTGAAGTTGGTTGCAGTTTTTTCATTTCACCCTGTACATATTCATGATAAGCATAAAATTCTAAGTCGATTTAACGATGTCAGTCTGTCTGTCTCTAGAAATCACGATACAGCTCACATTATAGAGCTTAAAAATTTGATAAAACAATTTGTATTGTGTCCAGGATGGTTGGTATTTAAAATGATATATCAGTCCACGCATAATGGTACCTTCCGATATTCGGTATTTTAATGATTTTTTCCACATTTTTTCACGGATTTCTCTAAAAATTGCTATTTATAGATCATAATGGGTTCTAGCTTAGGTGGCGAAACATTGTATATATAGGTCCACGTTTTGGTACAGCCCCCATATAACGGTACCTCCCGTTATTCGGCATTTTGATGATTTTTGCCACATTTTTTACGGTTTGTCTAAAATTGATATTTGTAGGTCAAATGGGTTCTAGCTCCTGTGGCGAAACATTCTATATATAGGTCTACGCTTATACGGTATTTTGATGGTTTTTGCCATTTTTTATCCATTGATTTGTCCAAAAATTTGTATTTGTCGTTCGTAATGGGTTCTAGCTCTTGTGGCGGAATATAGTGTGTATAGGTACATGTTTTCGTATTATGAGGGAGCTCATAATAGGGAGGGAGCTCATTATAGCACCTCCCGATATTCAGTATTTTAATGTCTTTTGACACATTTTGGTATTTGCAGTTCATATGGTTTTTAGCTTTGGTGGGAGAGCATTTAATATTTAGGTCCACGTTATCCTATAGCGCACATATAACGATACCCATCGATATTCGGTATTTTGATGATCCTAGTCATATTTACTTACGAAATAGTTGCAAATGTTTCAATGTTTCAATTTGGTAGATAACAATCCGTGAAGTATAAAGTTCTCTATATATATATATAACGGCCCAAACCACTTTATGCTTTTTGAAAAGTTTAAGAGCATTATCCAAACGGTCTTACTTGTATTTGTAGTTTAAAGTGCAACACCTTTAAATACAGATATTTTTATACAAACATGTTTTCATTATCCAACGGTGGAGGGAATTAAAAGTTCGGCTCGGCCGAACTTAATTGTTTTTTATTGGTTCTATGTTAAATATGGGGATCGGGCCTTCAGGGCCTCCATCCTCCATACATACCTGTCTCCTACGTACTAACTATGACATGTCAGTTTAAGGCTTTTCTAGAATATGTAGACACTTCAATTTATTGGCTATCAAAATTTACCATTAACCAGACATGCCTTAGATGTTATAGCTATTTTTAATTTGTTTTAGAAATCATAACATGTCAGTGCAATTTTGATAAAAAATTAAAGGCAAGTTATTGTTGGTGAAACACGCCTTATTGACATTATCAGTCCCTAATGGCTGATGGTAAGACGTGTAAGGCTTCTCAAATTCTGATAACAATTTCACTTTTTCATAGCAAGACCATTCAATTGTAAAGGGTTCACCTCTAATTGAGAATAGTTTGAAAACGCTTATTGTTTCTGTAACGTAGCTACATAGTTTAGCGCCGAAACACGAAATATGCCTAATAATCAGTATTTCCATAAAATTCTTGTTATTTTTATTTTGTTTTTGAATTCGGTTGTGAGTGCACACAATGTTCAAGAAAAAAGTTTCGCCACCTCGGTAGCCGGTTTGGAACAACTATTGTTAACGGAAAATATTTTAATAGAAAATGTGGATAAATATGCCGATAAATTGCAAGAAAAAGTGAATACATTGAAAAAGTGAGCATGAAGGTCCTATTAATAGCTAAAGTGGATATGTTTAGATATGTTAGTGAAATGAAACTGAACAGAATTTAATAGTATGACTAAGGATAAAAACAGTTTACCATTCACAAACAAAGAACAAAAAAAGAAAACAAGTAAAAAAGCTGTAAGTTCGGCCGGGCGGATCTTCGAATACCCTCCACAATTTGGAAAGATTTTGGAATTTTTTCAAAAAAAAAAAAAAATAAATAAATAAATAAATAAAATCCGTTCTGTTATAAATACCGAATGTAGCGGTTATTTTAGGGTCTATACGACGACGTGGACCTGCAAAGCCAACTTTTGTCATAAACTATTACAATATTAATATGCGAAACTTGAATAAAAAAAGTCGATAAATAATGTAGCTGAAATCTTCAAAATACCGAATATAGGGAGGTACCATTAAAGGGGGGCTATACGAAGACGTGGACCTGCACAGACAATTTTCTGTCATAGGCTGTAGTATCCATTAGGAACTTCATACACCAAATTTGAAACAATTCCGGTTAATAACGTCGCTAAAATCATTAAAATGCCGAATATAAGGAGGAACCATTATATGGAGGCTATACGAAGACGTGGACCTGCACAGACAATTTTCGGTCATAGGCTGTAGTATCCATTAGGAACTTCAACCACCAAATTTGAAACAATTCCGGTGAATAATGTGGCTAAAATCATCCAAATGCCGAATAACGGGAGGTACCGTAATATGGGGGATATATGAAGACGAGGAACTGTACAGACAATTTCCTGTCACAGACTGTAGTATCCATTACGAACTTCAAACACCAAATTTGAAACAATTCCGGTAAATAATGTCGCTAAAATAATCAAAATACCGAATATTGAGAGGTACCGTTATATGAGGGCTATACGAAGACGTAGACCTGCTCGGACAATTTTCTGTCAAAGTGTAGTATCCGTTACGAACTTCAAATACCAAATTTGAAACATTTCCGGTAAATTAAATCGGTTAAATCACCAAAATACCGAAAAAAGGAGGTACCATTATATGTGGGCTATACCAAAACGTGGACCTACATGACCCATTTCCTATACAAAAAGTCTTGCAGACATAATACACATTTGAGTGTAATTTTATCAACCTACTTCATTTTGTTCGGAAGCTAGGGTGATTTCCACAGACGGACGGCCAAAAACGTTTGCACTAATAACTTGAAAAACCCCAGTAAGGAAAGGCAAAAGTCGGGCGGTGCTGACTTTATGAAACCCAACAGCACTATGACTATTTAGTAGAGCCACGCGTAGCAAATAAACTTTCATATTGCAAACATGCAATAGGTTAAAACTAAAGTATGAAAGCTATATCATAATCGATTGCCACTAAACTTGGCTAAAGTAAATTTATGACGTATGTGACCTCTCGAACCAAATATAGTTGTTATGGAGAGCATGTTATGACTTTCAGAATTGTTAAATATAAAATCAAATGAAGCTACTTTACTTGTGGCGCCCTTAATGTATTATTAACATCAAATTAGAGAGAAATATATATGGAAGACATATCCTAATTTGAACCGATCTCGACAAAACTTGTAATATTTATTTTCGCGAAATCCTTGTTTTGGAATGTGTGTATATGTTTTCGGGTGATCTAGATAGGTATTCCCTGCCGAATCCCCAGGTAAACATTACACCGGTCCTCCACTAATGAACAAACGTTGCTTTTATAAAAACAACAATAATGGGATTAAGCCTGACCATTTTGCAACAACAAAATACTATGGTATCCCGAACAAACAAGCCAACACTGTTCTACAAAATCCATAAAAAAGGCTATATATCTGAACCTAAAATTAATACACTTGATTTTAGGCTACATTTGGTAGTCTCTGCCAAAATTCATCCCAATTTAGCTAATATTACAAATTTGGCGAGCAATATTGTTGAAATCGTGAGCTATATCAGAATCTGAACGGATCCCGATAAATTTTGGCAAATATATTTCTGAGCTGTATCCGATATTTGGCACCAAATATAACTGATGTGAAGTGCATATTACGAATGTCGGGGACTTAAACCCCAAATTGGTTTTCTCCGATGAGAAAACATTCGTTGTCCAGCAGTTTGTAAACAAACAAAACTTGCCAAAGAGGTCATCTGAAAAAGTGCTCCTTCGGTTGGTCACCAGAACTCAGCGCAGGCCATGGTGATGGTCTGGGCCGCCATAACACCCGATGGTCGCTCTCCGCTCGTATTAATCGACCGTGGCATCAGAATAAATGCCGAATATTATCGCGAAAATATTCTGGAGGGTATATTAAAGCCTTGGGCACGCAAAAATTTTAGCCGCAGATCTTGGACATTCCAACAGGACTCAGCACAATCGCACCCAGCACGCGCCACGCAAGAATGATTACAAAATGATGTTCCTCGCTTCATTTCCAGCGCACAATGACCACCAAAATCTCCGGCTACCAATCCGTTGGACTATTGTGACTGGAAAGCAAGGTTGTCACTAAAAAATACCAAAGTGTCGATCACCTCAAACAAGCGATTCCCCGGAAATGGGCCAAAATACCGGAGAGCAACATTCGGGTAGCGTGTGGCAGTTTGAAGGCTTGGTTTCATTGGCAGTTTGAAGGCTTGGCTTCATTGGCAGTTTGAAGGCCATAATTCGTGCCAAAGGTGACCAATTCGAACAAAAGTTTGATGCTATTTCCGACATTTTTTGCTGTTATTCAATCAAATCAAATTAAAAAAATGTAAAAATTATGGCGTTTGACTTTGTTGCAGTTTTTTATCTCACCCTGTATTTAGGGGTTTGGAATGGACCAATAAATAAAAATGTTCCTGATTTGCAGCCGTAATAAAGGTCACAAATAGAAACCAAAGAACACGAAATCTCGCATGAAGTCAGAGACTATAGCCTTTGCTTAGTTTTTAATATAGGTTTATGTTATTGTCAGCCTTTAAACTGGCTTATTTAAGTTATTGCGAAGGTTTTGATCGTATTTTCCAATAGATTTAGCTGAAAATTTGTATTTTATTTTTTTTCTGGGGGCAAGTCGTTTATATACATGTGACCTTAAGGCATCTTATAAAATTCTGAAAGGTTCCTTTTTTGTATAGTGACTTATCGCTTTATTTTTTTAATATTGTTTCCAAAGCCTAGTCAACCATCTGAAAATAGAAAATGGAAAAGCCTTACAAGATAGTAAAAAGTATCTTCATATTCCACTCAATGCGTTTTCCCTAATACGTCGAATGCATAATGATTGGAACCCAATTGAAATGTTTATGGTGCGACCGGTTGGTGAAAGTATGTATAGCTTCTATTTTCATATAAAAGAAAACTAACAATTTTTTCTTTACATAGACCACTTAAACATGATTAGAAAACATCTCCCGGAAATGCCAACATCAAAGGATATTACCGAAGCTTCGGAGGCTATATACCGTTTACAGGATACATATGGTATGGAAACCGATGATGTTGCCAGGGGTATATTCAATGGCAAGCAATATGAGTGAGTTTCTATGTGACGGTGGTTTAATATTTTAGTGTCCTGAGATCCAAATTTAAGTTTGGTCAAATTCGGAAAAATTTAAGTTTAAATTTCGACCGAATACTCATTCGTTAGCCGTGGAAAATGTAAAATAATGGATGGTCTGGAGGACACTTAGATATTGAAAAGCAACTTTAAAAAAAAACAAATAATATTGAATATTTTTCATTTTAGTGCCAAACTGAGCTCCGTGGATTGCGTATTCATGGGAATGCATATGTATGGAAAGAAATTGTTTCATTTAGCTGTTGAGTGGTTTAACAGAGCCATTGAGACATATGAAAGTTCTGACTATAATAATGTAATAAATCATATATTGGGGGACATATACTACCTGTTCGGAGAGGCCTTAGCACAGGAATGTAAGAAAAGAGCAATTTAAATGTTATTTTTTATTATGCATATATTTGTTTAAATCTCTCATTAAAGATCGCTTTAATGATGCTATCGTTGCAATGGAAAAAGCTCGCGAGTTGCTTCCACAAGACGCTCGTTTGCTGCATCGTAAAAATGATATAGAAATGAGGGCTAAAATGTATGATGGATCACCAGTAAAGGTAATGTAAACTCCGTTAAATCGACTATCGTACTTTGTAAATATAAATTTAAAACTATCAGGATAAGGCGTGGAGTTTTAAAAAATAATTTAAAAGGATTATCAGGGAAAGGCGCGGATTTTTAAAAATTATTTTTAAGACTATTAGGAGAAGGCGTGTAAAGCGTGGATTTTTTAAAAATAATTTTTAACGACTACTAAGAGAAGACGTGGAGTTTTTAAAAATAATTGTAAAGGATTCTCAGGGAAAGGCGCAGATTTTTAAAAATAATTCTTAAGACTATCAGGAGAAGACGTGGAGTTTTTAAAAATAAATAATAATTTTTTAACGACTATCTGAAGAAGACATGGGGTTTTTAAAAATAATTTTTCAACGACTATCAGAAGAAGACGTGGAGTTTTTAAAAATAATTCTTCAACGACTATCAGAAGAAGACGTGGAGTTTTTAAAAATAATTTTTAAGGACTACCAGAAGAAGACGTGGAGTTTTTAAAAATAATTTTTCAACGACTATCAGAAGAAGACGTGGAGTTTTTAAAAATAATTTTTAAGGACTATCAGAAGAAGACGTGGAATTTTTAATAATAATTTTTTAACGACTATAAGAAGAAGACGTGAAGTTTTTAAAAATAATTTTTTAAGGACTGTCAGAAGAAGACGTGGAGTTTTTAAAAATAATTTTTAAGGGCTATCAGAAGAAGATGTGGAGTTTTTAAAAATAATTTTTTAAGGACTATCATAAGAAGACGTGGAGTTTTTAAAAATAATTTTCTAAGGGCTATCAGAAGAAGACGTGGAGTTTTTAAAAATAATTTTTTAAGGACTATCAGAAGAAGACGTGGAGTTTTTAAAAATAATTTTTAAGGGCTATCAGAAGAAGATGTGGAGTTTTTAAAAATATTTTTTTTACGACAGGAAAAGGCGTGTTTTTTTAAATACTTTTTAAGGACCACCAGGAAGAGGCATGGATTTTTTAAAAATAATTTTTTAAGGACTATCAGAAGAAGACGTGGAGTTTTTAAAAATAATTTTTTAAGGACTATCAGAAGAAGACGTGGAGTTTTTAAAAATAATTTTTTAAGGACTATCAGAAGAAGACTTGGAGTTTTTAAAAATAATTTTTTAAGGACTATCAGAAGAAGACGTGGAGTTTTTAAAAATAATTTTTTAAGGGCTATCAGAAGAAGACGTGGAGTTTTTAAAAATAATTTTTTAAGGACTATCAGAAGAAGACGTGGAGTTTTTTAAAATAATTCTTCAATGACTATCAGAAGAAGACGTGGAGTTTTTTAAAATAATTCTTCAATGACTATCAGAAGAAGACGTGGAGTTTTTAAAAATAATTTTTAAGGACTATCAGAAGAAGACGTGGAGTTTTTAAAAATAATTTTTCAACGACTATAAGAAGAAGACGTGGAGTTTTTAAAAACAATTTTTAAGGGCTATCAGAAGAAGATGTGGAGTTTTTAAAATAATTTTTTAAGGACTATCAGAAGAAGACGTGGAGTTTTTAAAAATAATTTTTTAAGGGCTATCAGAAGAAGATGTGGAGTTTTTAAAAATAATTTTTTAAGGACTATCAGAAGAAGATAAAAATAATTTTTTAAGGACTATCAGAAGAAGACGTGGAGTTTTTAAAAATAATTTTTTAAGGGCTATCAGAAGGAGAATTGGAGTTTTAAAAAATATTTTTTTACGCCAGAACAAGGCGTGTTTTTTTAAATATTTTTTAAGGACCACAAGGAAGAGGCATGGATTTTTTAAAAATAATTTTTTAAGGACTATCAGAAGAAGATGTGGAGTTTTTAAAATAATTTTTTAAGGACTATCGGAAGAAGACTTGGAGTTTTTAAAAATATTTTTTTTAGGGCTATCAGAAGAAGATGTGGAGTTTTTAAAAATAATTTTTTAAGGACTATCAGAAGAAGATAAAAATAATTTTTTAAGGACTATCAAAAGAAGACTTGGAGTTTTTAAAAATAATTTTTAAGGGCAATCAGAAGGAGACGTGGAGTTTTAAAAAATATTTTTTTTTTTAACGACAGGAAAAGGCGTGTTTTTTAAATACTTTTTAAGGACCACCAGGAAGAGGCATGGATTTTTTAAAAATAATTTTTTAAGGACTATCAGAAGAAGACGTGGAGTTTTTAAAAATAACTTTTTAAGGGATATCAGAAGAAGACGTGGAGTTTTTAAAAATAATTTTTTATGGACTATCAGAAGAAGACGTGGAGTTTTTAAAAATAATTTTTTATGGACTATCAGAAGAAGACGTGGAGTTTTTTAAAATAATTTTTTAACGACAGAAAAAGGCGTGTTTTTTTAATAACTTTTTAAGAACAACAAGGAAGAGACATTGATTTTTTAAAAATACTTTTTAACGATTATCAGAAAAAAGCGTGGATTTTTTATAAATAATTTTTAAAGACTATCAGGAAAAAGGGATGGATTTTTTAAAAATTATTTTTAAGGCCTATCAGGATAAGTCTTGGATTTTCATACCCTTCACCATAGTATGGAGGGTATATTAAGTTTGTCATTCCGTTTGTAACACCTCGAAATAGAAATTTTAGACCCCACAAAATATATATATTCTTATATATTTTCTTGATTAGCATAAAATTACATTTAGTGATGTCCGTTCGTCTGTGGAAATTACTCTAACTTCCAAACGAAATGAAATTCATTAATAACATTTTACTCAAATGTGCAGAATTTTTGGCATTGAAAATGGGTCATGTAGGTCCACGTTTTGTTATAGCCCCCAAATTGTACCTCCTTATTTCGGTATTTTGGTGTTTTAAACGACATTATCCACCGGAAATGTTTCAAATTTGGTATTTTAAGTTCGTAATGGATGCTACAGCCTAAGACAGAAAATTGCCTGTGCAGGTATACGTCTTCGTATATCCCCCATATAACGGTACCTCCCTATATTCGGTATTTTTATGGTTTTAGCTACCGATTCCGACCGATTTTTTTTTCCAAATTTCGCATTCGAATATTCTAATGGCTTATGACGAAAGTTGTCTATGCAGATCCACGTCGTAGTATAGACCCTAATATAATGGCTACAGTCGGTATTTATAAGATTTTAGCAGATCTTTATTAAGGATTTTATTTTTTTGAAAATTTCCAAATTCTTTCCAAATGTTATATATAAAGTTCGGTCCGGTCGAGTTTACAGCTTTTTTACTTATTTATAAATAATTCCTAACGACTATCAGGAAAAGGCGTGCATTTTTCAAAATAATTTTTATTTCTGATAAATAATTTTATTTTTGATAAATAAGTTTTAACGTCTATCAGGAAAATGCGTGGATTTTTTTAAAATATTTGTTTACGACTATCAGGAAAAGGCGTGGAATTTCGATAAATAATTGTTGACGACTATCTAGAAAATAATTTTTAACGACTATCGGTAGAAGGCGTGGATTTTTGAAAATATTTGTTTACGACTATCAGGAAAAGACGAGAATTCTTAAAAATAATTTTTAACGAAATTAGATATAATGAAATATATTTCAGAATCTCTTCTTGGTTTTTACAGCATCCGAAGCGTGAACCAACTGACAATGAAAGAGGATGCAGCGGACAATATGTCAATAAGCCATCGTTTCGGCTTTATTGTGTCTACAACACCACTACGTCAGCGTTTTTGCGATTGGCTCCGTTAAAAATGGAAATTTTGCATTTGGATCCATATTTGGTTGTATTTCATGACGTTATATCGGATGCTGAAATACAAGAATTAAAAACGTTGGCAAAACCCTATCTCAACAGATCTACTGTATACAAAGATGGAAAGGCAGTTGCCATTGATAGAAGAACATCGAAATATGCTTGGTTTGGGGATAACTTCTCCAATGTCACGAGACGTATAAATCAGCGGATTCGTGACATGACTGGTTTCGATATTGAGGGATCCGAAATGCTGCAGGTGATGAACTATGGCGTGGGTGGTCATTACGATGCTCATTATGATTTCTTTAATGCTTCTGATGTGAGTAGAACTGTTCAGAGCAATATAAACTGAACTTTTGAGTGAATTTTCCTTTTGATTCGTTCATAGACAGAGGATGTTGTTAGGGAGACCGGTGATCGTATTGCCACAGTATTGTTTTATGTAAGTTTTGGAAATTCAATGGAAACTTTTAAAGAATTACCTCATGCGTTTAAAATGATTTATTTTCTACAGATGACCGATGTGGAGCAGGGTGGTGCCACAGTATTTCCCAAAATTGAAACCGCAGTGTTTCCTCGAAAGGGTTCAGCCGTTATGTGGTATAATTTGAATAATAAAGTTGTGGGCGATGACCTCACATTACATGCTGCTTGCCCTGTCATTGTAGGCTCTAAGTGGAGTAAGTACCTAAATGCGTTTTTGCTTTAAAAAATCAGTGAATTTTTATTTTTTCTTCTCTTTATAGTTTGCAATAAATGGATACGTTCAAAGGCTCAAATATTTAGAAAACCATGCTACAAAGAATAAATAAATGAATCAATTATAAGTAAATATATTTTTCTTCGTGTTCTTTGGGGGTAAATAATATGAGATGAAAAAATCTTATATAAATTAAAAAATATTTTGTTTGTTAATTGTTGTTATATATCCTAGGGTTTTTCTGTTGCTAATCTAGAAATCTAGTATTCAAGTATTCTAGAAGTATAATTTTTTTATTACGGCTTTGAAATACCAAAAACTTTGTCGTTGAAATTATTAAATGCCTAATACGGATATTTATGGAAACGTCGATCTGTTTATACAAATTTCTATAAACACCAACGTGGCTAAAATAATTGGAATACCAAGACCTGAACCAATATAGGGAGAGATAAAAAAAACTGCAACAAAGTTAAATGCCATATTTTGTACATTTTTTTTTAAATTTTATTAAATGAAAGAAAAAAAAATTGGAAATAGCATCAAAATTTAGAATAAGTTTAGAATTATTCGAATTGGTCACCTTTGGCACGAATTATGGCCTTCAAACGGCCAATGAAACCGTCACACGCTGCCCGAATGTTGCTCTGCGGTATTTTGGCCCATTCCCGGCAAAGCGCTTGCTTTAGGTGATGGACACTTTGGTATTTCGTAGTGCCAACCTAGCTTTCCAGACACAATAGTCCAGCGGATTGGTATTTGGAGATTTTGGTGGCCATTGTGCGCTGGAAATGAAGCGTGAAACCTTATTTTGTTACCATTCTTGGGTGGCGCGTTCTGAGTCCTGTTGGAATGTCCAAGGTCTCCGGCCAAAATATTTGCGTGCACAAGGCATTAATACACCCTCCAGAATATTTTCGCGATAATATTCGGCATTTATTCTGATGCCACGGTCGATTAATACGAGCGGAGAGCGACCATTGGCTGTCATGGCGACCCACACCATCACCCTGGCCGTCGCTTGAGTTCTTGTGACCAACCGAAGGTGTACCTTTTCAGCTGACCTCTTTGGCAAATAAACACGATCATTTTGTTTGTTTACAAACTGCTGAACAACGAATGTTTTCTCATCGTAGAAAACCAAATTCGCCAGTTCACCACTTTCTGCCAAGCGAAGCAACTCTTTTGAGTCTATTTTCTTTCTGTGGCGGTGTAAGTTCTTGAACTTTTTGGAATTTCAATGGCTTTATTCCGAGCTCATTTTTCAATATTTGCCCAATGGGATATTGCGATATGTTCCACTGCGACGCGGGTTTCGACCAAGTAACTTCTTTACTTTTCGAATCATTTCTGCTGATGTTGCTGTTTTCTTCCGTCCACTTCCTTGACGTCGGGCTACGTTACCAGTATCAAGGTATGAGCGATGGTACGAGACACAAAAGATTTATTCACATTTAAATGCTGGAGTGCTTTAACGATAGCCACTTGTGGTTTTCCAGCCAAAAAAAAAAAAAAAAAAAAAAAAAAAAAATTACACTATCACGCTTGAATTCCATTACGAATAACTTTTTTTCTAGAAAATTCTCACCAAAATGCTTTTGTACGCTTGTAAAAAATATAATGAGCTATCACTGGAAGCTGTCGGATGAGTGGCTTAGAAATGACAGCAGTCTGAAGTTGGTTGCAGTTTTTTCATCTCATCTAAAGAAATATTTCGACGAGTTACAAATTAAATGACAACCTTAACATACTCTCCATACTAGAGGTGGAGGGTGTAAAAAACAATCAGAAAAGGAATTAATCACATGTCGACAATGCTTAGTCTCCATAAAATGTCGACAAAGCTTAGCCTCTATCAAATGACTAGTTTCTTTGTGGGATAATAAAAATTAAAATTTCATATGTTTCGTTTATTAATAACCTTTTTATTTACAATTCAATTTGACAAAATTTATGATATTAATCCACTCCCATAGCCATGTGGGGTTTAGATATGTCATGATCGGGTTTTAAATCACATGGCCTTATTAACTCCTGGCCCACCGCATGAAACCAAATGTTACCAACTGAAAAAACAGAACAATATTAAAAAAAGTGTCATTAACCAGGGAGTGTTAAATACTGCACGTTCCAACTTACTCCATTTGGAACCTTTCAATACGGGGCAACCTGCATGGGCTGTACGAAAATCTGGCTCCAATGATCTATGTAAATTATACCACACAACCAAACTATGCTTGATGGGTGGCACGGCCAGTCGTAAATGGGGAAAAGCTGTTGCTCCTCCTAAGTCCACATCATTAAGCTGGAATAGAAACACATAAATCATCAACATATCAAATTCGCCTTAACAAAATCCAAAAAAATAGAAAATGATTCTATTGAATTTTTCTAAAAATAACAAGTAAAACCAGTAAGGAAAAGTCAAAAGTCGGGCGGGGCCGACTATATAAAACCCTACACCACTATGCATATGTAGCAGGGTTCCCGTAACAAAAGAATTTATTTGAAGTAGATCATACCACCTATCAACATTTGACTTTCGAGCGGTTATAGGCCCGTTCTTATATCTTTTCTTTATAGCCCACTTTTGTTATCCCTTACTTTAGGAAAAGTGAAGAATAAAGTTCACATTACCGGGTTCTCTCATCTTTTCTTTAAAATATATGCATTTTTTACAAAGATATGTCAAGTTTTTTGTAAAAGTAACTGGTAGTTACTGAATTTTTTCCACAATGGCATCTTCATTTTAATTTGAAAATAATAAAAAACGAACTTGCAATTAATTTCGTGAAATAAATTTATAGTTCAGTTCTTCAATATAAAATAAACGATTTGCATTATCCATGTTTTTATTTAAATGAATTGCCATATCATCAATATTCAATATGGCAACATGACTTCAGTAAACTTTACGTTAAAATATAAAGGGAAAATGGTCTGACCTTTTGCTTATCGGACAGTTCATACTTAAATGAAACTAGTAATAACGAAAAACGAACCAGTAAAGAAAGTCCTAAAATCGGGCGGGGCCCACTTTATGAGCTCCACATAACAATTAAAAGTTTTTATGGGAGAATTTAGTTATACACGCTTTGGATGTAATTATTATTTAAAGTTCAAAGGACTAAATGCGCCGAAGCATTTGTATCTTTTAAATTCAGACTTGTTTTGCCCATTTTGTGCAAAATTAATTGGAAATCAGAAAAAGATATATATGGGAGCTATATCAAAATCTGAACCGATGTCGATAAATTTTGGCAAATATATTTCTGAGCTGTATTTGATATATTTCCCTGAATATCGTTGTTACGGAGTGCATATTACGGCTGTGGGTAACAAATACAACAAATCGGATGAACAATATATATGGGAGCTATAGCTATATCTGAACCGATCTGAACCAAATTCGGCATACTAGCTTCTAGACTCAATTCGGGCGCATGTGCCAAATTCCATCCCATTTGGGCAAATATTAGACGTTTGGTGTACAACAAAAGGTAAATCGGACGAAGTTATGTATGGGAGCTATATCGAAATCTGAACCGATCTCGGTAAAATTTAGCAAATGTATTTCTGAGCTGCATTTGATATATTTCCCCAGATATTGTTGTTACAGAGCGCATATTACAGCTGAGGAGGACAAAAATAACAAATCGGATGAATAATATATATGGGAGCTATAGCTATATCTGAATCTTATTGAATGAATCTTATTTTCAGGCCTAATTTGGATGTATGTGCAAAATTTCATACTATTCGGGCTGATATTAAACGTTTGGTGCACAATAAAAGGCAAATCGGACGAAGATATATATGGGAGCTATATCTAAATTTTTACCGATAATCTCCAATTTTAATAGGGTTCGTCCTTGGGCCAAACAAATGTTGTTTGGAAAATTAAATCTCAATCGGATAATAAATGCGACCTGCATTTTGTTCACAAGAATACATGGACAGACGGACTGACATGCATAAATCAACTCAGAAAGTGATTCTATGGAGATCCTCAAAAGTAACTATGGGTCTATCTCGCTTCCTTCTCCATGTTACAAACAAATTAACAAGGACATAATACTCATACCACTACGTGGTGTAGGGTATAAAAATCGGCAAGATGTTATATCCGGCCATTCGGAACATCTGAACCGATTTTCTCCAAATTTGATGTACTTGCTTCTAGACTAAATGTTGGTCGGATGTACCTAAAGTCAGGACTTTTGGACTGATATTGGTCATTTGGTGCACAATTAACTCGAAATCGATTGAAAAAATACATGGGAGCTATATCTAAATCTGAAGCAATTTGATAAAATTTGGCAGAGTTATTTCCGAGCTCAATAAGACTTCTCGTATCAAATATCATTGTCGCATGCATCTTACGAATGTGAGGTGCTTCAAGAACAAATCGGATGAAACATATATATGGGAACTATAGCTATATCTGAACCGACTGTAATCTGTCGGATGTGCCCATATTCAGGTCATTTGGACTAATATTAGCCATTTGGTGTACAATTAACCCGAAATCGGTTGAAGATATACTGGGAGATATATTGAAATCTGAACCGCTCTTGATAAATTTTGGCAGAGGTATTTCTTGGCTATATCTGACATTTGGTACTAAATATCATTGTTATGGAGTGCATATTACGCATGTGAGGGACTTAAAACCCCAAATCAGGTGAAAAATATATATAGGAGCTATAGCTATACCTGGACCGATTTTCTCCCAAATTGATGTACTTGCTTCTAAACTGAATTCGGTCAGATGTACTACAATTGACTTCATTAGGACTTATATTGATCATTTGGTGCACAATTAACCCGAAATCGGTTGAAGATATATGGAAGCTATATCTAAATCTGATCCGATTATCCCCAATTTTAAAAGGATTCGGCATTCGGCCAAACAAATATTAAAATAACAATTTTAGAAAAATCCGTGGGAAAATGTGGCCAAAATCATCAAAATAACGAATATCGGAAGATACCGTTATATGGGAGCTATACGAAAACGTGGACTTATAGAAACAATGTTCGTTCAGCGAAGCTGGAACCCATTACAAACAACAAATGCCATTTTTCGACAAACCCGTGTAAAAATTTGGCTAAAAATACCGAATATCGGGAGGTACCTTTTTATGGGGGCTATATGTACAATGTTCACTCACTTGAACTATAACTCGTAACGAACTACGAATACCAATTTTTAGACAAATTGGTAGAAAAATTTGTCTAAAAGCATGAAAATACCATCACAAAACGGGGACTAATATATCTAATTTTTAATACAAACCATCCAAGACACAATATAAACTACTGTGCTAAATCTTAAAGCTCTCTATGTCAAATAATGTGGGCTTTGTCGTGATTTCAACAGAATTACAGGCGGACATATTTAAATCGATTTAAAATGTTATGAAAGACCTCTTTGGGGCTTGTTTGAGGGATAAACAAATTATCCATAATTACAGTATAATAATAAAAGGTTACAAATAGAATAACAGGCCCATTATCCCATTCCTTCTATGGTGAAGGCTAAAAATGCACTACTTACATAAAACATGGCAGTTAATATGCGATTACCATCGTCAGGGTTATCTTCTTCTGGATTCTAAAATAAAAAAAAAATACTTTAAGGTCATAAACACAACAAAAACTATAATCTTACAACAATACCTCTGAAAAATCATAATGTGTTCCATAGTATCCGCCTATGCCATAGTTTGCAACCTGCATATCTTCGGACATGTTCATACTCAAACCTGTGATGTCGGCTACACGCTGTGATATCTTAGCCATTAAAGCGGAGTCATATGCCAGCCAAGAGTTTTTACTTATGCGCACTTCATTGATATCGCTGTTATCCTCACTGCCAATTGTAGATCGCTCAATGTCCGATTTAGATCTAGCAATAATTTCTTTGATTTCTTTATCATAAATCACATCATGGTATACTGCCACAAAAGGATCTGTGTTCAGCTCTTCCATTTTCAGGGGACCTAATAAATAATATGGCACATTTTTGGTGGTAAAATGGCAATGTAGTTGGCTTTTTTCAGCAATTCGTTGTTCAAATTCGCCACTGCACGTCTGTTCGTAGAGATCTTGTATTTCCGACTTATCGTACTTAGCTTCAATGAAACTCGTACGTCTTTTAATTTTAGTTTCGGCTGTGATGAGATCTCTATTTGATAGACCAATTGAATTATCTGGTTCCAGGGAAAGCAGTTTTGAATTAACAGCCAAAGCCAACTCATGTTTACCCGCATAAAATAAAGCCGGAGCCAAAAATTCTAAAATTTCGGCAATGCTGACGTAGGGGAAAATACCATCGGTTGTGTTCTCAATGTCTCCGCCATTTATGTTGCTATCATCAAACGCTTTCGCATTGTTGCTTTTTTCATTTTCTTTTTCAGATTTTTCCAAGGCCTCAATTAACCATTCGCTGGCTGTTAAATATTCTTCAGATTCATATAAACTTTTACCCAAAACGTAGCAATTGAAGGCTGACATTTCAGAGCTATATTTTCGATCCCTTAAATAGCCATCCGTGATATTTGTAATATCCAATTTGTATAGCTGTTGGAGTCGTGACAAACCTCTGGCGGCTCCTCGCAAATCTTCATCTGTTGGCAGTGTAACTGCGTCCTCCGGAATATGCGACGACTCATTATAAACTTTAAAAGAATAAAGAATATATTTTTTTAGTAAAGGATTGTTTCATTCTTAAAATCTTGTGGTTTTGAAAGTTGACATGAAATGACAAATAATGTCGTTTTACAGTCATACCCGACAAGTAACTTTCCTGATAAATTTTGTATTTTGATCATATGTGTATGTGTGTTTGCGTATGTGTATATAAGAATAATAACTATTTACTTGTTAAATTCTCGATTTGCCTTGTCAACTTGAAAACCTCCTGCCAATCAGCTGCAATTCTATTAATGGCCTTAAAGGCATTCACAGGATAGTCATAGTAGAATTCCGACGATTGTTGGCGTTTCTCATACTCTGTATCCAGTTCATCTATTAATCTAAACAAAATGTAATTAAAATTCAAATTCATTTGTATTGACTCGACATACAACCCCTCAATTGTATATACGAGTACATACCTATCCAACTCCGTTTGCAATCGTTCCACTTCGACAAGATGTTTTCCAATGGCCCACATATAATGATTTTCAACTCGCAGCAATGTCTCTAAACCCGAAATTGACGAATAGTAATCACATTTTATACAGCCAACAACAATAAAATACAAAATTAAACTTAAAATTGTTTTAGACATTTCAAATGACTGCAGAGTATTAAAAAGGTGTTGAACATGTTCCTTGCCATCGACTACTATTGACTGCTTGCGGCAGCCAATCCAGATTTTACTATAAAAATATTTATTTTAGTTGTTGGGACAAGTGTTCGATTGTTTGTCGGATTTATATTTACCTAAGTAACTTGTCGAAATGAAAATATAAAATGAAATTTGGAATTTCATGAGATGGAGATAAAAATGAAAGAACTTTTCAAAGACGTTAATTTTCTGAAAGGCATTACCATTTCAATCTTACCGAATATAACTTTTTCTATACCCTCCACCTTGAATGAAATTTGTCATTCCGTTTGTAACAACCCTAAATATTCGTCGTAGACCCCATAAAGTATATACATAGTGAGATGAAAAAACTGCAACCAACTTCAAACTGCTGTCGTTTGTAAGCCACTCGTTCGACAACTGTTAAAATTATTCCAGCGACAGCTTAACATATATTGTTTACAAGCGTTCAAAAGCAATTTGGTGAGAACTTCCCAGAAAAAAAGTTATTCGTGATGGAATTCAAGTGTGATTTCTTTATATTTGGCTGGACGTCAAGGAAGTGGATGCAAGAAAACAGCAACATCAGCAGCAATGATTCGAAAAGTAAACAAGTAAAAAAGCGAATGCCTATACTACGACTTGCACCTGCATAGACAACTTTTGTCATAAGTTATTACAATATTTAAATGCGAAACTTGAAGAAAAAACTGTTTATAAAATCATCAAAATACCGAATATAGGGGGTACCGTTATTTGGGGGCTATACGAAGATGTGGACCTGCACAGACAATTTTCTGGGATGGGCTGAAGTATCTATTACGAACTTCACATGCGAAATTTGAAACAATCCCGGTAAATAATGTCGCTAAAATCATCAAAATACCGAATATCGGGGGGTACGGTATATGGGGGCTATACGAAGACGTGGACCTACATAGCCCATTTTCTGTTTTATGCTGCAGTATCTATTTCAAACTTCAAATACCAAATTTGGAACGATTTCGTTAAATAATGTCGCTAAATCATCAAAATACCGAATATCGGGGGGTACCGTTATATGGGGACTATATGAATACATGGACCTACGAAGATGGGGCTATACGAAGATGTGGACCTGCACAGACAATTTTCTGGGATGGGCTGAAGTATCTATTACGAACTTCACATGCGAAATTTGAAACAATCCCGGTAAATAATGTCGCTAAAATCATCAAAATACCGAATATCGGGGGGTACGGTATATGGGGGCTATACGAAGACGTGGACCTACATAGCCCATTTTCTGTTTTATGCTGCAGTATCTATTTCAAACTTCAAATACCAAATTTGGAACGATTTCGTTAAATAATGTCGCTAAATCATCAAAATACCGAATATCGGGGGGTACCGTTATATGGGGACTATATGAATACATGGACCTACATGGCTCATTTTTTGACTTAGGACGTAGTATTCATTACGAACTTTAAATACCAAATTTGAAACAATTCCGGTAAATAATGTCGCTAAAATCACCAAAATACCGAATATCGGGGGGTACCGTTATGTGGAGGCTATACGAAAACGTGGACTTGCACAGATAATTTTATGTCTTAGGCTGTAGTATCCATTTCGACTTTCAAATACCAAATTTGAAACAATTCCGGTGAATAATGTCGCTATAATCATCAAAATACCGAATATCCGAAGGTACCGTTATATGGGGGCTATATATGATAACATGGATCTGCATGGCCCATTTACGAACTTAACCTGCCTACTGGCAAAATATACATGTGTGCAAAATTTTAGCCTTCTATCTCAATTATTTCGAAAGATAGCGTGATTACAACAGACAGACAGACGGACAGACAGACAGACAGACGGACATGGCTAAATCATCTTATAATTTTACGCTGATCAAGAATATATATACTTTGTTGGGTCTGACATGAGTATTTAGAGGAGTTACAAACGGAATGACAAAATTAATATACCCTCCATAGTGTGGTGGAGGGTATAAAAAGCAACTTGATCGAAACCCGCGTCGCTGTGGCCGAAAAATAGCTTGTGAGCTGAACATATCGCAATATTCCATTCAGCAAATAATGGAAAATGAGCTTGCCATTGAAATTCCACAAAGTTCAAGAACTTACATCGCAAAAGAAAGAAAGAGATGCTTCGCTTGGCCGAAAGAGATGAACTGCCGAATTTGGTTTTCTCCGATGAGAAAAAATTCGTTGTCCAGCACTTTGTAAACAAACAAATGATCTTGTTTACTTGCCAAAGAAGTCAGCTGAAAATGTACACCTTCTGTTGGCCACCAGAACTCAAGCTCCGGCCATGGTGATGATGTGGGCCGCCATAACAGCCAATGTTCGCTCTCTGCTCGTATTAAATGACAGTGGCATCAGCATAAATGCCGAATATTATTACAAAAATATTCTGAAGGATGTATTAAAGCCTTGGGTACGCAAACATTTTGGCCGCAGACCTTGGACATACCAACAGGACTCAGTATCATCGCACTCAGAACGCGCCACCCAAGAGTGGTTATAAAATGAGGTTCCTCGCTTCATTTTCAGCGCACAAAGGCCTTCAAAATCACCGGATACCAATCCGCTGGACTGTTGTGTCTGGAGTATTTTGGAAAACAAGGTTGGCGCTAAAAAATACAAAAGGGTCGATCACCTCAAGCAAGCGCTTCACCGGGAATGAGACAAAATACTGCCGAGAGACATTCGGGCAGCGTGTGAGGGTTTCATTGGCCGTTCCTAGGCCATAATTCGTTGCAAAAGTGACCATAATCAGCATAAAGTTCTAAGACGATTTATCGATGTCCGTCTATCTGTCTATTTAAATCACGATACAGCCCACATTATTTTGACGTAAATTTGGCAGAACAATTTGTATTGTGTCTAGGATGGTTGGTATAGAAAATGAGGTACATCGGTCCACGTTTTGGTACGGCCGCCACATAAAGGTACCTTCAGATATTTGGCATGATTTTAGCCACATTTTTTAACGGAATTACCTAAAATTCGGTATTTAGAGTTCGTAATTGGTGGCAGAACATTGTCATATGCGCCTTATACCTGCAGCACCCATAAAGCGGCATTTTCCGATATTCGGCATTCCGTATTCCTGACGGAATTGTCTACAATTTGGTATCTAATGGGTTCTACCTTCTCTGACAGAACACTGGTCCACTTTTCCCTAATATATCGGTTCCTCCCGATATTAAGCCTCTATTAATTATACCCATATTTCTAAGGGAATCGTTTCAAATTCCGTATGAACAGTTGGTAATTCATTATATCTTCTTTGTCAGAAGATTAGTGGAATGCATATATGTTTGTTTTAAATACTCAATATAGCGGTACCTCCGAATATTTGGTATTTGTTATGCCGTATGAACAGTTGGTAGTTCATTATATCTTCTTTGGAAGAAGATTAGTGAAATGCATCCATGCCAAGCCTGTGACGAGAAATCGTGCCTTCAATTTCTTATTTTGGTACACAGGCAAAAATGAAACTGGCTCGAATGTTAAACTACGATACTGTTATTTCTAAATAGATTTTTTTTATCTAGTGCTAAAGGGTCCAACTTAGCTTAGTTTTTTTCCCCCGGCGAAGTATTAAATGTGTAGCCATAAGACTAAGGATATAACAAGTTAAAAAGGTTGTAAATTCTCGCCGGGCCGAACTATGAACACCTTCCACCATTTGGAACGAATTTTGCTTTTTTCAAAAAAAAAAAAAAAAACCGTTAAAAATTCTGTTAAAATCTTAAGAATACCGAATGTAGCCTTTATTAGGGTCTATGCGACAGCGTGGACCCGCATGGGCATCTTTTGTTATAAGCCCATAAAATATTCAAACGCGAAACTTGAAAAAAAAAAAATCGGTGAATAATGTAGCTAAAATCATCAAAATACCGAATATAAGGAGGTACTCTTATATGAGAGCTATACCAAAACGTGGGCCTGCACAGACAATCTTCGGACATAGGCTGTAGTATCCATTACGAACTTCAACTACCAAATTTGAAACAATTCCCGTGAATAATGTCGCTAAAATCATCAAAATACTGAATATCGGGAGGTACCGTTATATGGGGCTATACGTGGACCGAAACAGACAATTTTCCGTTGTAGGCTGTAGTAACCATTACCAACTTCAACTACCAAATTTGAAACAATTCCCGTGAATAATGTTGCTAAAATCATCAAAATACCGAATATCGGGAGGTACCGTTATATGGGGACTATATGCAGACGTGGATCTGCACAGATCTGCTGTAGTATCCATTTCGAACTTAAAATACCAAATTTGAAACAGTTCCGGTGAATAATGTCGCTAAAATCATCAAAATGCCGAAAAAAGGGAGGTACCATTCTATGGGGGATATACCAAAACGTGGACCTACATAGCCCATTTTCAATACCAAAAGTTCTGCGTACATAATATATATTTGAGTAAAATTTGATCAATCTACTTCATTTCGTTCGGAAGCTAGAGTGATTTCCACAGACGGATAGACGGACGGATAAATTGACATAGAATTTTATGCTGATAAAAAATATATATACTTTGTGGGGTCTAAAATGTATATTTCGAGGTGTTACAAACGGAATGACAAACTTAATATACCCTCCATTCTATGATGGAGGGTATAAAAACAAATGAATACACCTATGTGAACATATGCACGTATCAGTCCAATAGAAAAAAAAATCCGATAAAAATTAACTTAAAATTAGAAATATATAGTAACCAATATTAAAAGCAATTGAACCGCATCAGACTTCTGCATTTCGTGAGAAGTTGTGGCAACAAAAACAATTAAACAAAACAATGCTTATCAAAACTATTAACGCAAAAATATTACACGACCCCACAGAAGTAGTAGTTGTTGGTGACAACACACCAGTTATATTTTCTTTTTTGTTTTCAATTTCCAAACAATTGATTAGAACATATACATGTCTTTAAAATTGCCACGGTGTCCCACTTCGCACCGGCACTGATAACAATTCATCGTTGGCGCAGTAGACCTGTCTAAGATAATGACTATTGGTTGGGGAATCGTCTCCACCCAAAAGTAGTATGAAAACTGTCAACGTGGGTGCATCACATAACCTAGTACGCACTTAGTTTCTAAATAATTTCATGTCGTGAATATGCGACACCGGCGGCAATTATATTTCCACATAAGTTTATTAATAGTTCTGTTATGGAACGGATCCATTGTCCATTCGCAAGATGAGCAAGAGAAAAGTATCTCCACATCGATAGCGGGCATGGAAGAGCTTTTGATGTCGGAGAAAATTTTAATCAATACCGTTGAGAGATTTGCCGATGAGTTGCAGGCCAAAGTGAATGCATTGAAAAAGTGAGAGTGATTTTAATTTTGAAAATACTCAATTTACAATTCCAATAAAAGAAAAGTGATAAGATCAGTTAATCAATAAAAAAAATAATCTCAAAATTGTAAAATAGAAAACGTTGCCCATTAAAAATATAAATCAAATGCTGCCAATAAAGAACTAATGAACCGTCTGTGATTGGTGAAGGGAATACTTTAAAGCAATAAATAATAGTTTTAAGTAAAATATATTGTCGGAGATTGTACCAAGTGCTAATTGCATGTTTAATATAAAGAGCAAAACATATTAAACCACATTGATATGGGCCGAACATTTATTAATCGAGGTAGTGTAAATATAGGCCATGAAATCACACAAAAATAGCTCGCTAAAATTTAGGGTTGCAAATAATAGTTTTAAAAATCTGCATCTTAAATAAAAAAGAATTTAAATAATCTCCATAGATCGCATGTGTGCAAGAAAAGTGCGATGTTTCTCGAAATCGGGCACATATCAAAGAGTGAACATTTTTCGCTGCACACACGGTGAATGATAAATTTCAGAAAGCTCGGCTCAGAATTGCTTCTGATCCCTTTTGCAATGCCGAATAAAAGGAGGTAGCGCTATATGGGATCTATATATAGGGTGAGATAAAAAAAAAACAGCCACAAAGTCAAACACCATAATTTTTAATTTTTATACCCTCAGCCATATGGCTACAGAGGGTATATATAATTTGATTCCGTCAAAACGTGCCTAGTCGAAATAACGGTTTTAGACCCTAGGTCTCCTTGGACCAAATCTGTTTCAGAACATTTGGAGTCGATCTAGCGATGTCCGTCTGTCTGGCTGGCTACGGCGCACGATAACTCTAAAAGGGAGTATCCGATTTCATCCAAACTTGGTACACTCCTTCTTGTACCTCCCCCACAAAAGTTCGAAATTTTCAAAAGATATATGTATTGCACAGAAAGGGAAACTATAGTCCGATTTTGCTCCAACTTTGCAAATCCTAATATTTGCGTCAGTGTGAGGTCAGGTGTGAAAATGGAAAATATAGGTCCACTCCAACAAGTACCTCCCCCAAAAATGGTAAAAATTTTGAATAATTACAACTGTCTTATAAAAGCTTATAAAAAGCGAAATTGACATCCGATTCTATTCAAGACTTGGAACATCCCAAAATTTCCATTAACACAACACAGTCAAAACCTAGCACGTTTCAATATTTATATCACATTTATTTAGGTCTGATGCGAAATGGCCAATATTGGCCATGAGGGGTTTAACATTTGAATAAACATAGCAGAAGTCAAAATATTTTTCAATAATCGAGCATTGGCTGAGGGTATAAATCTGTCGGCAAAACCGACCGATACTTTTTTACTTGTTTTTTTTTTTTTTTTTTTTAAATTTTATTGAATGAAATCAAAAAATGTCGGAAATACCATCAAACTTTAGAATAAGTTTAGATATGTTCGAATTGGTCACCTTTGGCACGAATTATAGCCTTCAAAGGGACAATGAAACTTTGACACGCTGCCCGAATGTTGTTCTGCGGTATTTTGGCCCATTCCCGGCGAAGCGCTTGCTTGGTATTTTTTAGTGCCAAAACACTCTAGACACAATAGTCCAACGGATTGGTATCCGGAGATTTTGGTGGCAATTGTGCGCTGGAAATGAAGTGAGGAACCTCATTTTGTAACTATTCTTGGGTGGCGCGTGCTGAGTGCGATGGTGCTGAGTTCTGTTCGAATGTCCAAGGTCTGCGGCCAAAATGTTTGCATGCCCAAGGCCTCAATACACCCTCCAGAATATTTTCGCGTTTATTCTGATGCCACGGTCAATTAATACGAGCGGAGAGCGACAACACCATCACCTTGGCAGGCGCTTGAGTTCTGGTGGCCAATTTTCAGCTGACCTCTTTGGCAAGTAAACACTATCATTTTGTTTGTTTACAAACTGCTGGCCAACGAATGTTTGCTCATCGGAGAAAACCAAATTCGGCAGTTCACCAATTTCGGCCAAGCGAAGATCTTTTGAGTCTATTTTCTTTGCGTTGTGGTGCAAGTTCTTGCGCTCTTTGGAATTTCAATGGCTTTACCCCGAGTTCATTTTTCTATATTTGTGAATGGAATATTGCGATATGTTCAGCTCACGAGCGGGGCGGGTTTCGATCAAGTCGCGGGTTTTGATCAAGTCGCTTCTTTACTTTTCGAACCATTTCTGCTGATGTTGCTGTTTTCTTCCGTCCACTTCCTTGACATCGGGCTACGCTACCAGTATCACGGTAACGTGCGATGTTACGAGACACAAACGATTTATTCACATATAAATGTTGTAGTTTTCTAACGCTAGTAACTTGTGGTTTTCCAGCCAAATAGAAAGAACTCACACTATCACGCTTAAATTCCTTCACGAATCATTCTTCTTCCTGGAAAATTCTCACCAAAATGCTCTTACACCCTTGTAAACAATATAATGAGCTGTCACTGGAATAATTTTAACAGCTGTCAGACTAGTGGCTTAGAAATGACAGCAGTCTGAAGTTGGTTGCAGTTTTTCCATCTCACCCTGTATATACAATTATAATTCTAAGGACCCTAGAAAATATTCCTTGCAATTATGATAGGAAGCAAAAATTCCGCATAGGTCAGTTTTTTTGTCAGCAGGCAGGTCAAATTCGAAGATGGGCTATATCGGTCCTGGATATCATATAACCCCTATATAACGGTATCCTTCTTATTTGGTGTTTTTATGAATGTAGCCGTATTTAAATATATTGTTATGGCTTATAACAAAAGTTCTCTATGCATGTGCAAGGCTTCGTATAGAGTCAATTTTTGCGGCTATATTTGGTATTTTTAAAACTTTAACAGAATTTTTAACGAATTGTTTTTGTTTATTTATTTATTGTTTTTATCTTTATTTATTTATTTATAGAACAGTGTGGCTTGTTTGTTCGGGATACCGTCGTATTTTGTTGTTGCAAAATGGTCAGGCTTTATCCCTTTATTTTTGTTTTTATAAAACATTTTATTTATTTATTGTATTTGAAAATTTTAAAATTCTTCCAAATATTAGAGAATATTTAAAGTTCGGCACGGCCGAAATTACTGTTTTTTTACTTGTTTTTGTTCATATTCATTATTTAAAAGAAAATAATAAAAACAAAGAAATGTTTAGATTTGATTTTTCTCTCTTCCAGTCTAGTTACAGTTTTAAGAAACGAAAACGATAAAGCACTACAAAGCCCAGAAAAATATCTACATAATCCACTAAATGGATTTTCCCTGATAAGGCGCATGCATTATGATTGGAATAATATTGAATTGTATATGACAAAACCCGTGGGTGAATGTAAGTCAGTTCAACGATTTTAAATTGGATTTTTACATATGTTATAAAAACTATGTTTTCAGCCTATATTGAGGTAATACGAAAATATCGCCATGAAATGCCATCTACCAATGATTTGTTTGAGGCATCCGAGGCCATACATCGTCTACAGACAACGTACGATATGAGAATAGATGATGTCGTTCGGGGAGTTTTAAATGGCAAGCAATATGAGTGAGTATTTTTCGAAGGGAATTTCGATAAGGTATTTAATAAGAAAATTAATTAAATTTATATTTTTACTTTAAACAACCTAGTGTTAAGTTAAGCGCGGTCGATTGTTATTTTATGGGCCTCCATTTGTCGGCAAAGAAGAATTATTATTTGTCCGGTTTTTGGCTTTACAATGCCATTGAGACATATCAAAATTCTGATTACAATACAATCATTGACTATGGACTGGATAAGCCAAATGCCTTGTACGCCGAAGCTTTGGAAAAACAACGTAAGCATTATATTTAAATGAATACTACCAACATGACTCGAAATTATTATTTCATTCCTTTTTTTAGTTCGTTACAATGATGCCTTAATTGTCATTAAAAAAGCCCTTAGCTTTCGTCCAGATGATGCTGACCTTACAAATCGGAAAAATCAAATCGAACTGCAGGCAAAAACATATAATGGACCTCCAATATCAGTAAGTTAAATATAGTTTATTTCCTTAACATTCTTGTGGAGCACATATTACGCATGTGGGGGACCTAAAAAACCAAATGGGATGAAATATATATATGGGAGCTATAGCTATATCTGAATCGAATTTGAAGTACTTGTTTCTAGGATGAATTGAGTCGGAATTGCCAAATTGGGCTGGTATTAGCCATTTGGTTTACAAAAAACCTGACCAACAATTTGAAATACTCAGTTCCAAAGATTACTATTGTGGAGTGCACATTACGCATATGAGGAACTTAAATCCCCAAATCGGATGAAATATATAAGATAGCTATAGCTATATCTCAATTGATTTTCGCCAAATTTGATGTTTTTGCTTTTATACTGAATTCTGTCGGAAGTGACAAAATTCAGCCCATTTGGGCTGATATTAGCCTTTGGTGTACAATAAACTTGAAATCGGATAAAGATATATATGAGAGCTATATCCAAATCTGAACCGATCTTGACAAAATTTGAAATTTGGTATTGCTGGGCCGTATCTGATATCTGGTACCAAAGGTCATTGTTGTGGGGTGCATATTACGCATGTGCGGGACTTAAAACCGCAAATCGGATTAAACATACATATGGGAGATATAGCTATATCTGAACCGATTTCCTCCAAATTTGAAGTTCTTGGTTCTAGACTGAATTCAGTCGGATGTGCCAAAATTCAGGTCATTTGGACTAATATTGGTCGTTTGGTGTACAATTAACCCGAAATCGTTTGAAGATATGTTCCCATATATATATAGATAAATTTGAACCGATTCTTACCATTTTCAATACCGTCCTTCCTTGGACCAAACAAATACGGATAATAAATGCGACCTGCATTTTGTTCACAAAAACGTATGGACGGATGGACAGGCAGACTTAACTGTCAACTGTCGGCAGACTCAACTAATCGACTCAGAAACAAGTGAAAAAGCAGTATGTTCGGACGGGCCGAACTTTGAATACCCTCCACCATTTGGAACGAATTAGAAAATTTTCAAAAAATAAATTCCATTAAATATATCTAATATCGGAAGGTGCCGATATATGGGGGGATATACGATATTGTAGACCTATTTAGATAATTCTCTTCCGAGGTAAATACCGTATATCGGAGGGTACCGTTTATGGGGGCTATACGACTCCTTGTGTGGTTTATCAGACAATTCCGTTGAAAAATGTGGATAAAATCATCAAAATATCGAATATCGGGGTACCGTTATATGGGGGCTATACGATATCGTGGACCTATATAGAAAATTCTCCTCCGAGGTATAAAGTACCCACAAGGTACTCCTTGTGTGGATTTTTAGACAACTCCGTTGAAAAATGTGGGTAAAATCATAAAAATACCGAATATCGGGGGTACCATTATATGGGATTTTCAGACAATTCCGTTGAAAAATGTGGCTAAAATCATCAAAATATCGAATATTGGGGGGTACCGTTATATGCGGGGCTATACGATATCATGGACCTATATAGATAATTCTCTTCCGAGGTATAAAGTACCCCCTAGGGACTCCTTGTGTGGAATTTCAGACAATTCCATTGAAAAATGTGGCTAACATCATCAAAATACCGAATATCGGGGGGGTACCGTTATATGGGGGCTATACGATAGCGTGGACCGATATAGCCCATCTTCGAACTTGACCTGCCTGCAGACAAAAGAGCGATCTGTGCAAAATTTTAGCTTTCTATCATAATTCGTTTAGACTGTAGCGTGATTACAACAGACGGACGGACTAAATCGTCTTAGAATTTTACGCTGATCAAGAATATATATACTTTGTTGGGTCTAAAATGATTATTTCGATGAGTTACAAACGGAATGTCGAACTTAATATACCCTCCATACTATGTATGGTGGAGGGTATAAAAAGGCAAGAAAAAACTAGTTTTTATTTCACGATACCGAACACCATTGACTCTTGGCGCTTGATCTGCCCCATTTTCATAAAGAAGGTTGAATGATTCCTCCAGCCCAAAAACCACACAACATATCGGCACGTTGAGGATATATTTGCTTTTCATGAATCACTCGATGATTTTCCTCACCCCAAATGCGACAATTCTGCCTATTGACGAAGCGATCAAGATGGAAGTTAGGCCTCGTAACTGAAGATTGGGCCAAATCAGCATTTTATAAATCTTATTCAATCGTGTAGTGCTCTATTTTTACTAACAAAAAAAAAACAATTGTTAAAAATGTCAAACAATGACATTTCGAATGGCGCTAAATTTAAATATTGTGTTCCAGTTGGGACACCCTTTATTTAAAAGGGCAATGAAATAACCGACTGATGTAGAATGCTACTATATTTAAAGGATAAAGATAAAATTCTGAAATTTCATATTTAGATTACTGATGGTGCCTGTGTTTAAGATTTGACGGGGGTTTGGAAACGCGACCTATATTTGCATGATAAGTACTAAATTCGGTGATGGGGATAGTGTTGGAATCCTCAAATCCGTTGGTATCAGGAAGATTTAAAACGTGATATTTTATATTGCGATAACTCTTGCTTTCCAGGATTGAGATATGGAAGGCTTTTACAAATAAGTACTTAAATTATACGAAAAACACTAAATATTACTTAATTTGGTATTTGAATAAATGCATAGAGTTAGAATCCCGACATTTGATATTGAGGTCTCTGTGGGTATCTGAGGTTGAGATTTTGAGGTGGGTTCGAAAAGTATTAAATTTGATTATTTTGGATTACCGTTGGTGTCTGGAATCGACACCAATAAATTGTTATTTTTGTAAATTTGGTATAAAGTGAAGGTATAGAGCTAAAATTCTGAAATTTGATATTGAGGTCACATGGTTTCTAGGGTTTACAATATATAGACGTTGAAAAAGTTTTTGAAAGAAAAAATTGATGATGTGTGTAAAACCCCTTCTCGGTAAACTTTTGGCGATCTTTTGGTCTAAAAAATACTAAATTTATGTACTATAATTGTACGAAAGGTACTAAATGGTACTATATTCTAAATTGGGTGAAGAGATATAAATAAAATTCTTGCATTTTGTATTTTAATTTCTGATGGCGGTTTGGAAATGCGCCCTATATTTGTAGGAATGTACTAAATTTACCTAAATTTGGTATTGAGTGAATATATAGAGGTTGAATCCCGCAATTTTATATTAGGGTCTCCGTTGGTATCTGAGATTGAGAGTTGGAGGTGCGTTTGGAAATGCGTCCCATAACTGTTCGAAAAGCGCTAAATTTTATTAATTTTAGATCACTGTTGGGGATGAAGAGAGGTTGATTGCTTAGGAAATACAAGGTGAGAAAAAACCTGCAACAAAGTCAAACGTCATAATTTTTATTGAATGAAAGCAAAAAATGTCGGAAATAGCATCAAATTTAAGAATAAGTTTAGATTTGTTCGAATTGGTCACATTTGGCACGAATTATGGTTTTCAAACGGCCAATGAGCGCTGCCCAACGCGCTTGCTTGAGGTGATCGACACTTTGGCATTGCTTGCTTGCTTTCCAAAATACTCCAGATACGATAGTCCAACGGAGTGGTATCCGAAGATTTTTGTGGTCATTGTGCGCTGGAAATGAAGCGAGAAACCTCATTTTGTGCTTAGTGCGCTGGTGGTGAGTCCTGTTGGAATGTCCGAGGTCTGCGGCCAAAATGTTTGCGTGCCCAAGGCTTTAATACACCCCATCGATTAATACGAGCGGAGAGCGACCATCGGCTGTTATGGCGGCCCACACCATCACAATGGCCGGCGCTTGAGTTCTGGTGGCCAACCGGAGGTGTTCGGAGAAAACCAAATTCGGCAGTTCACCACTTTCGGCCAAGCGAAGCTCTAGCTCTTTTGAGTCTATTTTCTTTCAGTTGCTATGTAAGTTCTTGCACTTTTTGGAATTTGATTGGCCTTACCCTGAGCTCATTTTTCAATATTGGCCGAATGAAGTATTGCGATATGTTCAGCTCACTTTTCGGCCACTTATCACAGTAATGAGTGATGGTACGAGACACAAAAGATTTATTCACATTGGAATGTTGGAGTAGTCTAACGATAGCCACCTGTGGCTTTCCAGCTAATTATAACGTAATCACACTATCACGCTTGAATTCCATCACAAATAACTTTTTTTCTGTAAATTTCTTACCAAAATGCACTTTGTACACTTGTAAAGGATATAATGACGAGTGGCTTATGACAGCAGTCTGAATTTGGTTGCAGGTTTTTAATCTCACCCTGTATATATTATTTTAACTAGTTGTTGACAGAAAAATTGGATGTGGGTCCGTTGTGTAATAGTTTTACTAATACCCTCCTCGGTAATCTTGAAAGTTAAAGATTTTGAAGACTTTTTGGTGTTAACCGTAAATATTTTCCTATTATTCTTTCCAAAAATTAAAGTACTTCAAGGTTTAATAAATACCTTGAAACGACGAGTGAGTACTTTATCGGCAATACATTTTTTGCTTTAAAAATGTTGACATTTTGTGGGGGAAGTTTGACAATAATATTTCGATGCACCAAGCTTGGATCAGATACGGTACTCCCTTCGAGGTCATAGTGCACGCGAGCCAGTCAGACTTGCGGACGGATATCGCTCCAAATGTCATGAAACGGATTGGGTTCAAAGAGACCTAGGGTCTAAAACCGTTTTTTCGATGAGACACGTTTTGGCCGCATCAAATGATATAAAGCCTCTCTAGCCATATGACTGAGGCTATAAAAATGTATGACCCCCATAATATGGCATTGCATTCATTGTTGCATTAAAATACATCTGCACTTCCCCTTTTTCGTCAAAATAGAAAGACAGTTCGAAAAACTCCACCAAAAAAGAAACTGTTGCAAACAGCAATTGGCATGACTGACTTTCAATGGTTATTTTGGGTAATCAAATGTTAAAAAAAATGTTGCCGAATCTAAAATTAACAAGGCAAAACTTAAAATTTTTAAGTTGGACTTTTCACTGACGAATAGCTAGTATGCTAGTACAAAATAATACGAATGTGATATCATCAAAAATATTATTTTTATATATTTTCAGTACTCCAAACCTGGACCCAGTGCCTACGAAGAGGGATGCCGTGGAAAATATGCCAATAAGCCATCCAAACTACATTGTGTCTACAATACGACAACATCGGCTTTCCTACGCTTGGCACCACTGAAAATGGAAATTCTCAATTTGGAGCCATATATGGTTTTATTCCATGACATCATATCGGATCAAGAAATTAGCGATTTACAAAATTTGGCAAAGCCGAATCTCAAAAGAGCCACTGTTTTCAACAAATCCCAAGGCAAATCCACAATAGTCGAGAAGCGAACGTCGAAATTTTCTTGGTTCCAAGACAATACGTCAAATACGACGATACGTCTGAATCAACGTATACGCGATATGACTGGCTTCGATATACTGGGCTCCGAAATGTTGCAGGTGATGAATTATGGTCTGGGCGGCCACTACGATACACATTTCGATTATTTTGATGTGCCAGATGTAAGTGATGAATGAATTTTGGACACTTAAAAATGTATCCAACTCAAAAACAAAAATCTTTGCAGACTTCTGATGTTGTCCAACTGAATGGCAATCGCATTGCTACGGTATTGTTTTATGTAAGTATATACATGTGTTTCATTTGAGTTAATGGAGCTTAAGTAAAATTTGGTATTCTTATCAGATGACTGATGTGGAACAGGGTGGAGCCACTGTATTCCCCAATTTAAAAACTGCCGTTTTTCCACGCAAGGGCACCGCTGTCATGTGGTATAACTTGGACAACAAACTTGAGGGAGATCCACTCACTTTACATGCGGCCTGTCCGGTTATTGTTGGTTCCAAGTGGGGTAGGTTAATGTATTTTTATTTTAAATGATGAAAAAAATTAAGGGTTTTCTCTCTGTTTTTCAGTGTGCAATAAATGGATACGATCCAAGGCCCAGATATTTAGAAAACCCTGCTATAAGTGATACATATATTAGAATGTGATAAATAAAACGAATTTATTGAAATGATATTTTGTGTTTTTTATTTTTTTTTCATATATAATGATATTTACATCAATATAAAAATCAAATATTTCCTTAATAACCAAAAAAAAAAAAAAAAAAAAAAATGGGCAGCCATACCAGGCGAATAATCCAATTCTAGACAACGGAAGCAAAAAACCTTTTGCATTTGAAATATTACGAAAAAATGACTGATGGTTATTACTCTCAACATTTATTTCGACTTTTGATTATTAAAAAGTGTTAACCCTTTGTGGGAGAGGTACCCAAAGGAGTAAATCGACACATTTTCATGCTAGATGTCATGGCATATAATTGGTATATGCCAATTTTTGGGCACTATGTACACATTTTATGAGCGTTATTTGCAATTAAAATTCATATTTTCGCTGCCCGAATGTTGCTCTGCGGTATTTTGGCCCAATCCCGGCGAAGCGCTTGCTTTAGGTGATCGACATTTAGGTATTTTTAGTGCCAACCTTGCATTCCAAAATACTCCAGACACAATAGTCCAACGGATTGGTATCCGGATATTTTGGTGGTCATTTTGCACTGGAAATGAAGCGAGGAACCTCGTTTTGTAACCATTTTTGGTTGGCTCGTCGTGAGTGCGATGGTGCTGAGTCCTGTTGGAATGTGCAAGGCCTGCGGCCAAAATGTTTGCGTGCCCAAGTCTTTAATACACCCTCCAAAATATTTTCGCGATAATATTTGGCGTTTATTTTGATGCCACAGTCGATTAATACGAACGGAGAGCGACAACCAGCTGTTATGGCGGCCCACACCAACCCCATGGCTGCCGCTTGAGTTCTGGTGGCCAACCGAAGGTGCACATTTTCAGCTGACCTCTTTGGCAAGTAAACGCGACCATTTTGTTTGTTTGCAAACTGCTGAAAAACGAAGATATTATCATCGAAGAAACCAAATTCATTTGAGTCTATTTTCTTTCTATTGCGGTGTAAGTTCTTGCATTTTTTGGAATTTCAATGGCTTTACTCCGAGCTCGTTTTTCAATATTTGCCGAATGGAATATTGCGATATGTTGAGCTCACGAGCCATTTTTCGGCCACTGCTACGCGGGTTGCGATCAAGTCACTTCTTTACTTTTCTTCCGTCCACTTCCTTGACGTCGGGCTACGCTACCAGTATCTCTGCAATGAGCGATAGTAGGAGACATAAATGATTTATTCACATTGAAATGCTGGAGTGCTCTAACAATAGCCACTTGTGGTTTTCCAGCCAAATATAAAGAAATGACACTACCACGCTTGAATTCCATCACGAATATTTTTTTTTCCGGAAAAGCCTCACAAAGTCTTTTGTAGACTTTTAAACAACATAATGAGCTGTCACTGGAATAATTATAACTGCTGTCGGATGAGTGGCTTAGAAATGACAGCAGCCTGAAGTTGGTTACAGCTTTTTAATCTCACCCTCTTCATTTCCGAAAGCATTTTATATGTCCACACTACACATGAATAGCGACCCTAATACCAAATCTCAAATTTTAAGCCCTCTCTGTTCAACCAATATCAAATTGTACCAAATATAGTACATTTCGTGCACTTGTATTACACATTTCTAAAATCAGCTTTTTATCACCACTAACTACCACCAACAGGAACCCCTATACAAAATTTCGAAATTTAAGCTTTCTCCGTTCGCCCCAAAACCAAACTGTTCCAAATTTAGTACCTTTCTCGCACATTAGATACATTTTTCAAAACCACGTCATATATCAAACTTACTTTCCTACCTTTATTTCCTTCCCTTATTCGAAAGTTGAGAGTTAAAGCTCTACTGGTGCGTCAAATACAAAGGTAACTGTTTTAGTACTTTTTTCGAACTCCAAATACCAAGTTTGATATTATTCCGCTTAAGTGTGTGACACAAATGATCAAAATACCAATAATTGGGAGGTACAGTTATAATCGGTTATACCAAAATTTGGACATATATAAACGGTTCTATGCAATGATGTTTCCTACATGCTGAAAGAACTAACTGCCACTTTATTCGCTTTAAAACCTGTTTGAGCCATTTTTTATAAAATGTTATCAATCTATTTCATTTCGTTCGGAAGCCACAGTGATTTCCACTCGTGGACAGACGAACGGGTATAGCTAAATTGACATAGAAAAGCGTTGGCTTAAATGTATACTTCGAGGTGGATTGACAAACTTAATACCTTCTCCATACTATGGTCGGGGATATGAAAAGAGAACTCCACCCTTAATGTTACGGATAACTCATATAATATCCATTACCCTCCAGTCCGAAATCCTCTAGTTCTTTTTATACCCTCCACCATAGTATGGAGGGTATATTAAGTTTGTCATTCCGTTTGTAGCGCCTCGAAATATACATCTTAGACCCCACAAAGTATATATATTCTTGATCAGCATAAAATTCTATGTCCGTCCGTCTGCGGAAATCACTCTTGCTTCCGAACGAAATAAGGTAGGTTGATAACATTTTACTCAAATGTGTATTATGTCTGCAGGATTTTTGGTATTGAAAATGGGCCATGTAGGTCTACGTCTTTGTATAGCCACCATATAACGGTACCTCCCGATATTCGGTATTCTGATGATTTTAGCGACATTATTTACCGGAATTGTTTCAAATTTCGCATTTGAAGTTCGTAATGGATACTACAGCCTATGACAAAAAAATGTCTGTGCAGCTCCACGTTTTACAACTCCCCTGGTTCCTCCCGATATTCGGAATTTTCATGGTTTTAGCTACATTATGAACAGATTATATCTAAACGTCGTCGCACAGACCCTAATATACGGCTACATGTGGTAGTTGTAAGATTTTAACAGAATTTTTAACGGATTTTATTTTTTTGAAAATTGCCAAATTTGTACCAAATGGTGGATGGTATTCAAAGATCGGCCCGGCCGAACTTACAGCTTTTTTACTTGTTTTACCTAATCGTTCCCACACCTCCGTAACTATAATCTTATTGGCCTACCACCCCCCTAACAATTCAAATCTCATTTTAATTACCCAATCGCAATATGAACCACAAATCAATTGATCTAAAAATAAAATTCTTTATAAACAATGTGAACGTGCATCGACGCATTTCCCATTCGGTAAACTGTCATATTCTCTTTATTGACGGGTGGGTGATAAGATAATTATTGTTGGTATCATTTGAAAATAGTGATGTTGTATATTTTTCAAGTATTGTTGTAGTGCAGACATGCGCTGAGTTTTAAAACAACAGATAACTTGAACTTTTACTTTAATACTGAAAACATAATTGATGTATTGAAACAGAAGAGTAGGCAAACTGACGTGGCGATATCGTGGGGACTATAGTCATTCGTGGCTTAACAAATGGCATGGCAAAATTAATGTCATCCCCCTGTTGATGTCAGAAAACCTCAGTTTGTAGCACCCAAGCCACCGAAACACTTATAAATATCACAAACAAATAAATTGTGCTATCAGTTGTCAATTGATCGCTCAGTAGTTGAAAAATCGTTAGTAGTAAAGACTGACTGACTGACTGCAAACCATTGATGGAAACCTCTCGATTGTATTGGATCAAAATAAATGCAGACTTTGTTGGCCAATTCATTCAGGCGTTACCAACTGTTTGGCCAAAACAAACTTTAATTTGTATCATATAACTGTATGTCGGTGTGTGTGTGTGTGTGCAGTATAAATATAGTGCAATGTGTTGAAATGAGAAACATTAACCACACGCTGTTGCTTCCCCATTGCTTACATTCATACAGGTTATTAACAATAAATAAATGTACCCTACATCATAATAGAAATCTGATTGATTCGTCACAATAGTAGTTGCTTGTGTCTTTACACTATTGCAGACGTATGCTTGTGTTATCATTTATAAATTGGAAATTAGATTTTAGTGCATTTTCGATGTTCATGTGGGGAAGAAAGGGAATTGCCGCAGAAAGAAACTTACTACCAATAAAAGGGGTTTAAACCAATTTTGGCATCCGTAACGTTGCTTACTAACCCATTATAATCACTGAGTCAAATCATAAGGAATTAGTAATTACACTGTGCAACAATCAATCTGAGGGGTGTAATTTCAAGTGGAGGTAACTGTATTGGCTTGGAAAATGAAAATATCAAAGGAGTTTTGGGTTCCCAGCGCAAACTTTTAGGGTCCATTTAATATAGCCTTAATCATACACAAAATGCTTTTACTTAGCCTGAATTATTGAATATTTTAAAATGGTCATAACTCCTTAAATGTTGAGTTTTCGGAGTTTTTAGCTATTATTTGTGATGACTTGTCAAAGTTTGAATTATTGAATATTTTAAAATGGCCATAACACCTTAAATATTGAGTTTTTTTTTGTAAAATTTTAGGAAGAGGCTTTTGGATTTGATACATAGGTTAAATGCAGAATAATTTGTGCAAAATATAGGTCATCAGCGTTTTCAAGTAATTGTTTTTACATTTTAGCCACATTTTTCATATTTTGACACAACGCAATACCTTCATCATATTAAATGTAGTGTGAATATAAGACATGTCGCTCCACCCCTAGCATCGGTACATCTTCCCAAAAACCCATCATCAAATTTCAGAAATCTACCCCAATACAATTGATTGATACCGCTCAGTATTTTTGGTAGACTTAAAGTTCGAATTTCCAAAACCACAGTCTTATCTCACACAAATTAACGATAACATTCAAAATGTCGTTTATTTTCAAATTTTCCATATTTTCCACGAAGAATTTTCTCCATTCAAAACGGCTAACCTACCCGTTAGTTCAGGTTAGGTTAAGCCAGTATAGGCCTGTTGCGCGCTCTTGACTAACGGGTAAGGAGAGATAAAAGTCAGGCGGTTTCGACTCTATGATACCAAACTCCACTATGAATATTTAGTAGGGTCATAGCTAAATCTTAACCTATTTTCACCATAGTCTCTGTCAATTTGGGCTCACATTTCATATTTGGCGAACAATATACTTGAAACCGAACGGAGATATATATGAAATCTATTTCCAAATCTGAACCGATTTCGTCAAAAATGGTCCAGGGTATTTCTCGGCAGTATCTGATATCCTGTACCGAATATCATTTGTATGGAATCAATATCCGTAATGTGGAGGAATTAAATATGAAATCGTATGAAACGTATATACAGGGTTGCCCATATTCGACGGACCTTTGGGCCCATTCCAATCGATGAGGCTTGTCCGCAGGCAACATTCTTTGCGTCAATTGAATTTTGTACGGGAACAAATGCAAATCAATGCGAATAATCCGTTGTAAAGTGGACCGAGCCATGCCCAACTGCTGAGAACGGCGTTTTTGGGATGTTCTTGGGGACCTCTCAACACTGGCTCGTACGGCAGCGATATTCTCGGCCGATTGCCTTGGTCGACTTTTTATGGCCTCTTCGGATTAGAAAGAGCCTTAGCAGTCGATAATTTTTCGTATAAACGCTTAATGGTGTTCTTAGAAGGCGCACTTCTCACATTTTTTAATGTTTTAAAAGCATGTTGAGTTTTCACAATTGACTTCTTCTTTTGAATGTAAATTTCAACTATTTCAGATCGCTCGCGTGGCGTGTATTGGTTCATGGTAAAAATCTGCTTGGACTGATGCTTCAAACGCGATATGTCATTAAGCGATGTGACATCTCTGACAAAAGTTATGGCGTTGCCAGATGGGTCCGTAGAATATGGGCGGCCCTGTATGGGAGCTATAGCTATATTAAAACCGACTTTCACTAAAATTCATCAAATGTTGGCATATATAACGTATTTGTTGTGGAAACTTCCACTTAACGGAAACTTCCACATAAATGAAAACTGTTATATGGAGACAATACGAAGACGTGGACCTGCTTTCGAATTTTTATTCATAGGCGGTAGTACCCATTACGAATTTCAAATACCAAATTTGAAACAATTCCGGTGAATAATGTCGCTAAAATCATCAAAATACGGGATATCGAGAAGTACCGTTATATCGGGGATATACGACAACTTGAACCTACTTATAATTTATTTTGTGTCATGGGCTGTAGTACCCATTACGAAATTTGTTACAATTCCGGAGAAAATTGTCGCACAAATCATAAAAATACCAAGTATCGGGAAGTAGCATCATATGGGAGCTATACGTAGACGTGAATCTTCATACGAAAATATTTGTCATAGGCTGTAGGCTTTTTTCCATAGATTGTAGTAACCATTAAGATCTCCCAAAACGAAATTTGAAACGATTCCGGTAAAAAATGTTGCTGAAATCATCAAAAATACCGAATATCGGGAGCTACCGTTATATGGGGGATATACGAAAACGTGGCCCATTTACGAACTTAACCTGCCTACTGGTAAATTATGCATGTACATGGTTGCCCATATTCGACGGACCCATCTGGCAACGCCATAACTTTTGACAGAGATGTCACATTGCTTAATGACATACCGCGTTTGAAGCATCAGTCCAAGCAGATTTTTACCATGAACCAATACACGCCACGCGAGCGATCTGAAATAGTTGAAATTTACATTCAACAGAAGAAGTCAATTGTGAAAACTCAACGTGCTTTTAAAACATTAAAAAATGTGAGAAGTGCGCCTTCTAAGAACACCATTAAGCGTTTATACGAAAAATTTTCGACTGGTAAGGCTCTTTCTAATCCGAAGAGGCCATATAAAAGTCGACCAAGGCGATCGGCCGAGAATATCGCTGCCGTACGAGCCAGTGTTGAGAGGTCCACAAGAATATCCCAAAAACGCCGTTCTCAGCAGTTGGGCATGGCTCGGTCCACTTTACAACGGATTATTCGCATTGATTTGCATTTGTTCCCGTACAAAATTCAATTGAAGCTAAGAATGTTGCCTGCGGACAAGCCTCGTCGATTGGAATGGGCCCAAAGGGCCCAAAGGTCCGTCGAATATGGGCAACCCTGTATGCAAAATGTTAGCTTCGTATCTCAATTCGACAGATGGTCAGACAAACAGACAGACAGACGGATATCGCTAGATCGTCTTAGAATTTTACGCTGATCCAAAATATATATACTTTGTAAGGTATATTATAAATATTTCGAGGAGTTACAAATGGAATGACAAAGTTAATATACCCTTCATATAATGGTGGAGGTTATAAAAACATGAGAACTATATGAATAAATAAATTCCTGATAAAAATAGTGGATTTCATTGTATATTCAATTTTAAACCAATAAATTCGCATAGAGGTTGTACCGCTTAGTCCGCTTATTGTACGGCATAACCAGTTCGTATGCAACCAAACACCGTTCGTTCCTACTTGATTACTCACCTCAGCTAAATAGTTCGACTTACAAGCATGAGTGTAAGTCAAACTACTTAGCTGACACTCTGTTACTTGTTTTCATTTCAGTTACAAATCGCCGCATAAACTCTTAAGTTCAGTTATTTTCTTTTTCTAATCTCCGCATTTGAAATAAAAATTTTCAGTTTTGGTTTATTTGTGAGAAATAATTATTTTTTGGTACTTAAATTAAAAGATTTCGAGCTAAGGTCAGCCGGCAACACATTTCACTTTCAACTTTTCCCTGCTCAAAATCCGCTATGACTTTCAAAAAACGAAGTGAATTAAAAGAAATTAAGCAACGGATTTAAAGGGAAGGTATTCATATGTTAAGTTGTGTGTTCCTCCATTTAACTAAGCCACTAAAAAAGTATGAATTGAAATTATGGTTAGTTACAACAACAAAAAGAAATATGTAAAGAAATAAATCCAACATATTTACTCACTGATACTCGCATGCCAGTTCTCTTCAACCGAAACGACGTTGGTTTTAATTAAAAATAGGTAAAGTCGAGAAGAAGAAAAAAACAATAACAACAACAATAAAAACCTACATTTTTCCAACTATTACTACGTCATGTCGAGTAAGAAAACCACAAAGAGCAAACCACTGTTGCATTTGTAAATAAGTTTCGATTTTATTTTCAAATATTTGGTTTATTTCCGATTTGTTTCCAGTCTTTTTACAACCGCCATACCAACATCACTCCCAGTCGTCTGTGAGTCTGTTCGTGAACAAATCAGTCTATAGTAAACAATACTGAACCATCAAAGTGGTTTAGTTTTTCCAACAACATAATCATTACAAAATTGAAATTGATTATATAAAAATTTTACAACAACAACATTATAGCAAAAATGCATTCCAATGCATGCTGGATAACCACCTTCCTGCTAATGCTAGCCACGCTCAACTCCATCGATTGCATGACCGACTGGGAGAAAAGTTTTTCCACCTCGATTGCGGGAATGGAAAATTTATTATTAATGGAAAGCACCCTGATAGCAAGTGTCCAACAATTTACCGAAGAGTTGGAACAGAAAGTTCGCCGTTTGAAAAGGTGTGTACAACTAAGTTGGAAGCAATTAGTGAGTGCGAATGAAAGTTTATCATAAGATTTGTTTGTGTTTTCATTCTAAAGTCTGCTCGATGAGCTGCAAACGGAAAATCAAAAGGGCCTTGATAATACGGAGGAGTATCTGCACAATCCATTAAATGGTTATGCCTTAATACGACGCATGTATTACGATTGGCCGAACATCGAATTGTTTATGTCTGAACCAATTAATAATGGTAAGTTTTTAATAACATCATGCAAAGTAAAAAAATTATTACAAGTAAGGTTAAGGCAATGGTTGGGCGGGATTGAAATTTGAAATAGGATAGAAATAATATATGGAAGCTATAGTACAGGGTTGCCCATATTCGACCGACCTTTGGGCCCATTCCAATCGACGAGGCTTGTGCGCAGGCAACATTCTTTGTCAATTGAATTTTGTACGGGAACAAATGCAAATCAATGCGAATGATCCGTTGTAAAGTGGACCGAGCCATGCCCAACTGCTGAGAACGGCGTTTTTGGGATGTTCTTGGGGACCTCTCAACACTGACTCGTACGGCAGCGATATTCTCGGCCGATCGCCTTGGTCGACTTTTATATGGCCTCTTCGGATTAAAAAGAGCCTTACCAGTCGAAAATTTTTCGTATAAAAGCTTAATGGTGTTCTTAGAAGGCGCACTTCTCACATTTTTTAATGTTTTAAACGCACGTTGAGTTTTCACAATTGACTTCTTCTGTTTAATGTAAATTTCAACTATTTCAGAGCGCTCGCGTGGCGTGTATTGGTTCATGGTAAAAATCTGCTTGGACTGACGCTTCCAACGCGGTATGTCATTAAGCGATGTGACATCTCTGTCAAAAGTTATGGCGTTGCCAGACGGGTCCGTCGAATATGGGCAACCCTGTACTATAATTGTTCGAAAAGAAACAAATAGTACTAAATTATGTATTCGGCGAAGGAATAGTGCTAGATTTCTGAATTTTTTATATTGAATATCTGTGTTTGAAAATTTAGAAATGTGTGCGAAAAGTAATAAATGGAATTCAATTTTGGATAGGGCTGGAGTTCTCAAATTTGATATTGAGGACTCTGTTGGTATGTCGAATGGAGATATGGAATTGGTTCAAAATGCAGGTCGCATTCATTATACGATTGAGATGAATTGCATTTTGTTTAAAAGAATGGACAGACGGACGGACAGCCGGACTGACATGCATAAATCGACTCAGAACGAGATTCTATGAATATTCTCAGAAGTAACCATGGGTCTATCTCGCTTCACTAGAACGAACCTTATTGAAGTTGGTGATAATCGGATCAGATTTAGATATAACCCCCATATATCTTCAACAGACTTCGTGTTATTTGTGCACCAAATGGCCAATATCAGTCCAAATGACCAGATATCTTATAGAGCTCGGAAATACCTCTGCCAACTTTTATTAAGATCTGTTCAGATTTGGTTATAGCTCCCGTTTTCGGGTTATTTGTGCGCCGAATGGCCAATGTTGCTCTGCGGTATTTTGGCCCATTCCCGGCGAAGCGCTTGCTTGAGGTGATCGGCACTTTGGCATTTTTTAGTGTCAACCTTGCTTTCCAAAATACTGCAGACACAATAGTCCAGCGAATTAGTATCCGGAGATTTTGGTGGCCATTGTGCGCTGGAAATGAAGTCAGGAAACTCAGTTTGTAACCATTCTTGGGTGGCGCGTGCTGAGTGCGATGCTGCTGAGTCCTCCTGGACTGTCCAAGGTCTGCGGCCAAAATGTTTGCGTGCCCAAGGCTTTAATACTCCCTCCAGAATATTTTCGCGATAAAATTTGGCATTTGTTCTGATGCCACGGTCGATTAATACGAGCGGAGAGCGACCACCGGCTGTTATGGCAGCCCACACCATCACCACGGCCGGCGCTTGAGTTCTGGTGGCCAACCGAAGGTGTACATTTTCAGCTGACTTCTTTGGCAAGTAAATACGATCATTTTGTTTGTCTATAAACTGCTGGACAACGAATGTTTTTTCATCGGAGAAAACCAAAATTCGGAAGTTCACCACTATTGGCCAAGCAAAGCAACTCTTTAGCTTATTTGAGTCTATTTTCTTTCTGTTGCGGTGTAAGTTCTTGGACGTTTTGGAATTTCAATGGCTTTACACCGAGCTAATTTTTCAACACTTGCCGAATGGAATATTGCGATATGTTCAGCTCACGAGCCATTTTTCGGTCACTGCGATGCGGGTTTCGATCAAGTCGCTTCTTTACTTTTCGAACCATTTTTGCTGATCCTGCCGTTTTCTTCCGTCCACTTTCTTGACGTCGGGCTACGCTACCAGTATCACGGTAACGAGCGATGGTACGAGACACAAAAGATTTATTCACATTTAAAGGCTGGAGTGCTCTAACGATAGCCACTTGTGGTTTTCCTGCCAAAATATAAAGAAATCACACTATCACGCTTGAATTCCATCAGGAATAATTTTTTTCTGGAAAATTCTCACCAAAATGCTTTTGTACGCTTGTGAACAATAGAATGAGCTGTCACTGGAATAATTTTAACAGCTGGCAGACGAGTGGCTTAGAAATGACAGTAGTCTGAAGTTGGTTGCAGTTTTTTTTTTCTTTACCGACTTTGACAAATTTTGTAAATTCAGAATGCCCTCTTGACATAAAAGAATAAAATCCGAAAAAATCGCATAAAAAGACGCCAATAATGATGTATAGATTTTGTGTTTTTTTATATTTTTTTCATATTTTTTATCGCATGCGATTTTCTCAATTTGACTTATAATATTGAAGTGCATATTTTGTAATATTTTTTTTCTTCTTACAACACTGGTTGGGACTACTATATAAACAGATTGTAATTATCGTCCGATCCTCACGAAAATTCATAAGGGTAGGGTTGGGCTCAGAAGGGCTAGGCTATTGTTTTTAAAGATGTCCGCAATATATTTAGGGGTTGAAATGGACCAACAACTAAAAATGTTCCTGATTTTGCAGCCGTTACAAGGCTCACAAATAGAAACCAAAGGAAACGAAATATCGCATGAAGTTAGAATTTAGGACAGCGGGTAAAATGGACCACTACTTTTTGTGAAAAAAGACTAACATTTCCATTCTACCCAAACGCAGAAAATAACGTACAGGCGTAATCCAAAATACCCAAAAGGCGAACTCCTGGTTTTTTATGCTGATTTCGTTGAGGAATATGGGAAGATATTTAAGGACAGGGAAGAAGTTTAGCATTTTGAATGACCACTGAATTATATTTAACTTTAAAATGGAGCACTGTAACTATTGCAGTGTTGTAGGGTATTTCATGGTCGGTCCTGCACGACTATAGCCTTTGCTTACTTGTTGAATATTGTATAGGAACAAAGAATAGTGAATAGTTTCAAGGAGTTTTTAATTAATTTTTAAACCAATATGTTTTTATAATATCCAATATGCCAATATGTTAATTTGTATTCGATGTTAGGACCTCATATTTTTGAATTATTTTTTTTTATTATTTAGCCCACGTGGAAGTGATACAACAATTACGGCCACAAATGCCAAGCTATGCGGATCTTTCAGAAGCATGTGAAGCTATATATCGTCTGCAAATAACATATGGTCTTGATCCGGCGGATATGGTTGAGGGCATTTTAAACAATAAACAATACAAGTGAGCTCCAATTTGTTTACCCTTTTTCCGTATATCCATTTTGAATGATAACTTTCTGCATTTGCCCTTCAGTGTTCAAATGAAGCCCCTCGATCGTTATTTTATGGGCTATTACCTGTTTGGTCAAGAGAAATATTTTCATTCTGCCTATTGGACTTATCAAGCAATAATGTCCCACGAAGACTCGGATTATAATGCCATAATGGATTTTGGTTTGGAAAAAGTGTACGCTTTATATGGTGAAACGCTGGTAAAACAAAGTAAGTTTTTAATAAAAATTTGACTATGATAATTGACTAATTTCTCTTTATTTGTTACAGATCGTGTCAAAGATGCCCTGGTGGCTATTCAACATGCTTTCACATTAAAACCGCATGATGCTCGATTAATGCAGCGCAGAAATGCAATTGAATTATTGGTCAATACAACAACAGATGAAGCGAGTGAGGTATGTATAGGAAAGACTGTTAGAAGTTTGCAAGGAAAAAATATTTTTGGAAATCTTAAGCACAAAAAAAAAAAAATAAAAAACCAGTAAAGGAAGTCTTCAAGTCGGGCGGGGCCGACTTTATGATACCCTACACCACATAACAATTAAGTAGAGCTCCACATAACAATTAAAAGTTTTTATGGGAGAATTCAATCATACACGCTATGATTATAATTATAACTTAAAGTTCAAAGCATAAATATGCCGAAGCATTTGTATCTTTTAAATTCGGAATTGTATTGCCCATTTGGTGCACAATTAATTTGAAATCGGATAAAGATTTATATGGGAGCAATATCCAAATCTGAACCGATCTCGATAAAATTTGGAAAAGATATTTCTGAGCTGTATTTGATATATTTTCCTGAATATCGTTGTTACGGAGTGCATATTACGGTTGTGGGTAACAAATATAACAAATCGGATGAATAATATATATGGAAGCTATAGTTATATCTGAACCGATCTTCACCAAATTTGACATACTACCTTCTGGACTCAATTCGGTCGTAAGTGCCAAATTCCATCCCATTTGGGAAAATATTAGACGTTTGGTGCACAATAAAAGGTAAATCGGACGAAGTTATGTATGGGAGCTATATCCAAATCTGAACCGATCTCGATAAAATTTAGCAAATGTATTTCTGTGCTGTATTTGATATATTTCCCTAAATATTGTTGTTGCATAGTGCATATTACGGCGGCGGTGGACAAAAATAACAAATCGGATGAACAATATATATGGGAGCTATAGCTATATCTGAACCGATTTCGATCAGATTTGGCATACATATTTTCAGGCCTAATTTGGGTGTATGTGCAAAATTCCATAAATTTGGAGGTACACAGGAGCCTCTTGCTTTTGGAGATGGTCGCAAAATATTTAGGGGTTGAAATGAAGCAAAATCTGAAAATTTTCTCTGATCACAAAATTGAAGCCGATCGACACGCCTGAGAAGATAGTTAAGGACAGGGAAGAATTCTAGCATTTTTTACAACAACTAACAGCACGACGGAGTGCGTAAATATTGGGCAAATGTCGCTGGTCAAAATGATAGGGGTAATTACTGGGCAGTGCTGCGTGACATAATTTCAAAAGCGAAATCTTCCAAAATGGATTTGGACATAAGGGAGCTTCAAACATATTGTATTGTAGTAGGGTATAACATGGTCGACTTTCATGGTAATATCCAGAAGGTGTAACTTCCACTATTTCTCTTCAGCCAATTCTGGTGGAAAAATAGGGATGTGCGAGTTTTAGAAAAATCGAAAGCTTAGAGCGTTCAAAGTTTTATAATTTTAGGAGAGTTATTAATATTCAAAGAATGCCCCACATGGCTAGGTCGACTTTTCATATCCTGAGTGAATTTCATCCACTAAGACATGGGTCTGAAGCCATTACTTCGACTTGGCATATATTTGATTGTATCTGATAATTATATCCTATGTTGGCAAAGAGCTAATGGAAATCTCACTAATTTCACACATCAAATAATTCTACCCTGAAAAATGTTCTTCGAATGGCTTTTATATCCTCGAATAATAAGACATGTAGCTTGATTTCAATTATTTTTACCATTGCCTTTTAAATTGAATTTCTTTCCTTTTCAGTTCCTTGTTCCCGAAGCAGATCCCTATCAATTGGGATGTCGTGGTTTCTACTCCAACTATATTTCCAATTTGCACTGCCTTTACAATAGAACAGCCGCGCCATTTTTACACTTGGCTCCTTTGAAAATGGAAATTCTGCAATTAGATCCCTATATGGTTCTCTATCACGATATGATATCAGATAATGAAATTGAAGAATTAAAAAATATGGCAAGACCTGATCTGAAACGGGCTACTGTGTACAGTGATGATAATAAACAGCCAATTGTGGTTAGAACGAGGACAGCAAAGTCAACGGGAATAGATGAACAGATTTCCGCCACCACAAGGCGTCTCAATCAACGCATAATGGATATGACCGGTATGGATACGGAGGGTTCGGAAGCGTTGCAAATAATGAACTATGGTCTCGGTGGCCACTATGATACACATTATGATTTCTTTAATGTTTCATCGGTAAGATTGCTTTTGAAAGTTAATTAATCAGGGAGAATACAAAACCACATTTATAAATTCTTGGAATTTCAGGGTCTTAAGGTGGTAAAGGAGGGTGATCGCATTGCCACAGTTTTAATTTATGTGAGTTTGTTCTTTAAATTTTTTATATAAATTAATATTCTTTATTGTATCTCATAGTTGAGCGAGGTGGAACAAGGTGGTGCCACAGTCTTTCCCAATATCCCCACAGCAGTTTTCCCCCAAAAAGGCTCTGCCTTGGTGTGGTATAATTTGAAAAACGATCTGGAGGGTAATTGGCTAACCCTTCACGCTGCCTGTCCTGTCTTAGTTGGCTCGAAATGGGGTAGGTGATAATGAGGAAATTGTTTCATTTTTAATTTTCCTATTTTTTGTTTTCCAGTGGCCAACAAGTGGTTACGCAGCAAAGCCCAAATGTTTAGAAGGCCTTGTTACAAATAATTTATATTAAATTGCGATGAATAGTTAATTTTCTATACAATATTATTTATTTAAAGCTAGAAGTAATAAAAGCTATCGAATTTTTTTGTTTACTGCCTGTTGAATAGGTTAAGTTAGGTCAGTATGAATATGTACTAGATTTAAGTGAATATTATAAAATGCTCGGAAAGAATTGTAACTTTCCATTTTCCAAAAAAAAGCAAAAAATATAAATTAATAAAAAATTAACGAATGTTTTCATAATGGGAACCCTAGAATAATGCCGTTAAATTCTTCAAAATACGGAATACATGGAGGTATCGATATATGGTAATCTGAAACAACTCCGGCGAATAATGTCCCTAAAATCATCAAAATACATTGGTGCTATACGATTGGTGCATTGGTGCTATACGATATCGTTGACCTATATAGACAATTCTCTTTCAAGGGGTAAAGTGCTTAGAAAGACCTTCTTGTGTGGATTTTCAGACAGTTCCATTGGGAAATGTAGCTAAAATCGTGAAAATACTGAATTTAGGGAGGTACCGTTATATGGGGGATATACGATATCGTGGATCTATACAGACAATAATATTACGATCTACGGACGTACACCCTTAGAGCGACTCCAATGCTCTAAATCGAATTTGGTCCAAAGAGATCTAACGGTTTTAAACCGTTTTGACCGTATTTAATGACATATACCCTCTGTAACCATATGACTGATGGTATAATTAGTACCATTTAGTACTTTTTGAACAAATATAGTTCGCATTTCCAAAACCTCCTCCAAATTTCAATTCCAGATACCAAGAGAGATCTCAATGTAAAATTTCGGGATTTTAGCCCTATATATTACCTCAATGTCAAATTTAAAAACAAGTAAGCAAAGGCTACAGCCGAGCGGGGCCGACCGTTGAATACCCTACAACACTATAATAAACGATACAGTTTATATATGTGAGATACTCGAAAGAATTCCACAAGATATTGTGACAAATAATTTTCGAATAATAGCAACTTTAACTAATTTGCTCATTTCCAATTTATTGGAAGATGTTGCACGTAAATGGTCTTCTTAGATCTGGAACCAATATTTCCCCAAGACCTATTATCTCTCAGAAGTGGCAAAAGCTTAACATTTATTATTGGTTTTTGACTGAAACGCATCTATATGAGATACAGACATTTGACTATATTCTTCAACGAAATCAGCGTTAACGAAATAGTCAGAAGTACGTCTTTCCTGTATTTGTGAATTCTCCAAAAAGTCACTGGAATGGTCATTTTCGTATTTTGTCTACAAAACTATTTCACACATTGAATATTTTTGGATGGCCATCCAAAACTGCTTGGCTTTTGCAATGCCCGGTAACCCCCATTTAAATGTGCGTGAGGATCGGGCAATAATTACGACCTGCTGACAATTTTGCAGTTTTTTGGTCCATTTCAACCCCTAAATATATGGCGATCATCTCCAAAAAGAGAAGGCTTCTATTCTGACCTTCATCTGATCCCCATGCAAAATTTCGTTAGGATCGGGCCATAAATGCGATCTGTATATGATATCCTGATATCCTAACTACTTAGTTTTGTTAGCTGTAAAAATATTACCAAATGTTTAATTCAAAATGAAAATATGCCAAAAATATGACAAAATTGAAAAAATATGAGAAAATTTTACAAAATCAATATTTTCATCTTTAGAGAGATATTTTTATGCGATTTTTTAGACGTTGTTTCTTTCCTGCCAAGAGGCCATTCTGAATTAATGAGAACTGTCGAAATCAGTTCAGCCGTTCTCGACATATAAGAGATCTTTCAAGGCTATCTTCTTTGATAGACATATATATCGCATATATTTTGCTATATATCCGTTTTGTTGGATGTTAACATCAATGTAAAGATCAGAAGTAACCTTGTCATGACTTTGTGATTTTGCCGAGATTTAAAATATTCGCGGTTTAATGAAAAATTTTGCATTTTTTCAACACAAAAGATATGGTCTATTTTGCCCGCTAAATATTATCCGATGACCACCCAAATTGGTAGGCTTCTTCCCCGCCCTAAACTCTAGCTACATGCGAAGTTCCGCGTCGATTGGTCTATAATTGCGACCTGTATAGCTACTGCAAAATCCGAAATTTTTTCAGTTTTTGGTCCATTTCGACCCCTAAATATTATGCGATCATCTCCAAAAGAAATAGGGTTCTATTCTGACCCTAGCCCCACCTCCATTCTAAATTTCGTGAAGATCGGGCCATAATTGCGACCTGTAGAGTGATTACAAATTAACATGGACAGACGGACAGACGGACGGACGGACATACATAGCTAGATCGACTCAACTCGGCGAGATAGGAAGATCCATATATACTTTCCTATGTGGGAAATCAATATTTCGAGGTGTTACATAATTTTTGGCCCAATCAAACTTATAATATCCCCAACACATAGTGTTGTAGGGTATAACAATTAGTACTTTTGGTATAATTTTAATATACATTTCCAACAGACCTTCCTTCAACCAAAACCAAATTGAATACCATTTAGTATTCTTCGATTAATTATAGCGCACATTTCCAAAACCACTTCCATATCTCAATTCCAGATATCAACAGAGACTTCAATATAAAATTTTAGGATTTCAAATTTACCAAATTTAGTATAATTTTGTACTTTTCGAACTAATATAAGATGCATTTCCAAACCTCCGCTAAATCAAACACGGATACCATCAGTAATATAAATATCAAATTTCAGAATATTATATCTATACCTTTCTTTTGGTACATCTATCCTGCACTCCATTAGCAACCCTAATAGGAAATTTCAGATACACTATCCAATACCCAATTGTACCAAATACAGTGTGATATAAAAAAACTGCAACCAACTTCAGACTGCTGTCATACCTAAGCCACTCGTCCGACAGCTGTAAAAATTATTCCAGTGACAGCTCATTAAATTGTTTACAAGCGTACAAAAGCATTTTGGTGAGTATTTTCCAGAAAAAAAGTTATTCGTGATGGAATTCAGGCGTGATAGTGTGATTTCTTTGTATTTGGCTGGAAAACCATCACTCGTTACTGAGATACTGGTAGCGTAGCCTGATGTCAAGGAGGTGGACAGAAGAAAACAGCAACATCACCCGCGTCGCAGTGGCCGAAAAATGGCAATATACCATTCGGCAAATATTGAAAAATGAGCTCGGGGTGAAGCCATTGAAATTCCAAAAAGTGCAATAACTTACACCGCAAAAGAAAGAAACTAGACCCAAAAGAGCTAAGGAGTTGCCTTGCTTGGCCGAAAGTGGGGAACTGCCGAATTTGGTTTACTCCGATGAGAAAACATTCGTTGTCCAGCAGTTTGTAAACAAACAAAATGATCATGTTTACTTTCCGAAGACGTCATAACAGCCGATGGTCGCTTTCCGCTCGTATTATTAGATTGTGGCATCAAAATAAATTCCGAATATTATTGCGAAAATATTCTGGAGGGTGTATTAAAGCCAATAGGACTCAGTACCATCGCACTCAGCACGCGCCACCCAAGAATGATTACCCAGTAAATATTACCCGATGACCATCAAAATTGGAAGGCTTCTGCCCAGCCCTAAGCTCTGGCCCCATGCTAACTTTCGACCTGTAGAGCAACTGCAAAATCAGGAAATTTTACAGTTTTTGGTCCATTTCAACCCCTAAATATTATGCGATCATCTCCAAAAGAAATAGGGTTTTATTATGACCTTAACCCATACCTAGATCGACTCAATTCGGCGAGATAGAAAGATCCATATATAAATTCCTATGTCTGGAACCAATATTTCGAAGTGTTACATAATTGTTGGCCCAATCAAACTTATAATAACCCTAACACATAGTGTTGTAGGGTATAAAAATTAAAAATTGTGCCGCTTGGCTCTGTTGCAGTTTTTCTACCTCACCCTGCAGAACTTTTCGAAATTCCAAAAACCTTTTGGTACATCTATCCTACACTGCATCAGCGTCCCTAATACGAAATTTCAGATTTCGAGCACTATTAAATACCCAATTGTACCAAATTTAGCACTTTTCGTGAACGTGTTGCACACATTTCCAAAATCATCTCTTTATCACAAACCATCCACAAAACTTCCAGCTTCATCCGTTCACTCGGCTTAGGGTGTTCTAAATTTAGTACAGTTCGCACACACATTTCTAAAACTACCTTCATATACCAAACTTACTCCCCAACCTTGATTCTCATACCAAATTTCAATTTTTACACCTATCCTTACACATATGTAATAGAAGTTTAGTACCATTTTAGAATTCTTCATAGCCTTAAAGTTCGAATTTCAAAAACCCATTGGCACGTCGCTCCCGCACTCCATCAGAGACTGTCATTCCAAATTCTAATTCATTACGTTTGTCCTTTATATTTTAACCAAGGTCAATATAATTTTTCGTAGGCATACCTCGTCTGTTTGTGAAATTTGTCTACCGTTAATTTATCATTGCTTAAAACGTGTGTCTCTGACGAACTAATAATAGAACGATGACCCATGGAGAAAATTTTCCATTGCAAAGAAATACGGACATCCATCGAATACATATATTCATTTCAAATTTTGGCGCAAAAAATTGCGAAATTTCGCAAAACAAACATTTAGCTTCAGATCAAGTTTCAATGTTTATACTAGATCAAGTTGACTCCTTTGTTTTATTTAATAAATTAATATAATAGAGCAGGTTTGGACAACAGCAAATTTCTTTTAAATACATAACGGTATTCAATACCTTCAGTTTGAAGGTCGCAGTATTAGGGCATAACCAATACTGTATGGCAAAGCACGTAGACTTTCTGAGACAATTTATGCACGATTAAATTCCCATCAACCTATGAACTAATTTTCTTTACTGGAATTATTTATGAAAACAAACAACAAATATATCTGAGTGCAAAGAAACACCAGTAATTATGTAAAGTGTGTTGAAATGACCCGCTAGCCAAAGAACAATGACCCGTGGAGAAAGATAATAAACGGTGAAGATGATTATAATTAATGATATTCAAGAAACCAGTTTATGTTGTATTATCGTAGAATAGATCCAGAATCGGCTACAAGAAGATACGTTACTAAAATCACGTTTAAGAAAGCTTTCAACTTCAAGCAGAAAATCTCTTCGATAAAGCTTTTGCATAGAACTTCTTTTGATGGCACCAAAATCTAAGGTCAAACATTAAAACTAGTATGGATGATGAGTTAGTAACTTTTGGAGTACTAAAGATATAGCATTGGAAAGAAAGGTTATAAAATTTAAAACTAATTTTAATTACAATGATGCATTGTTTAATTACAATTGCCATAATTATGGCTTCATTCGCCATTTTCCTAACAAATGGAGAATTTTATTCATCTGTTCATCAAATGTCCAAAGTTATGGATTTTGAATTGAAAATGTTAAAAAATATGCAAAAGTTTATTGGAAAAAATCAAAATAAATTGGATTACCTAAAAGAGTGAGTTTTGTAAGGGTGTGTGGATGAATTTTTGCCAATATTAAAGTGTTTTTCTTTTTTTTATTGTTTTCCAGACGTCTGGCTGAATATGAAAGAGAACGCAATGAAGCCGTGCAAATGGGTTCATCATATTTTGAAAATCCCGTTAACAAATATTTACTCACCAAACGTTTAACAAGCGATTGGGATCGCCTGGAAAATATTCTACAATACAAAGAAGGAGAGAGTGAGTATGAGGAGTATTTGATATATTTAATGTGTGCTTAATATGGGGTGTGAAGAAAATTTATTAAGGGCTCTTTGACCTTTGAAAGACTGAGGTGAATGCGAATATAAATTCAAATTTATCCAACAGGAAACCACGAATAGAATTTTAAAGAGGTCAGGTGTTTATGCCCTCCACCATTTTATGGAGGGTATATTAACTTTGTCATTCCGTTTGTAACTCCTCGAATAATTTTTAGTAAACCCTACAAAGTATGTATATTTAGGATCAGCGTAAAATTCTAAGACGATCTACCGATGTCCGTCTGTCTGTCTGTTGTAATCACTCTATTGAGATAGAAGGCTAAAATTTTGCATACACGCATAGTTTACCAGTAAGTAGGTAAAGTTCGTAAATGGACCATGTTGGTCCACGTCTTCGTATAGCCCCCATATAAGATTGCTCCCAATATTCGGTATTTTGATGAATTCAGCAACATTATTCACAGGAATCGTTTCAAATTTCGTACTTGGAGATCTTAATAGTTACTACAACCTATGGAAAAAAATCGTATGCAGGTCCACGTCTTTGAATAGCCCCTATATAACAATACCTCCCGATATTCGGAATTTTCATGATTTTACGACATCATTTAACGGAATTATTTTAAATTTCGTATTTAAAGTTCGTAATGGGTACTACAGCCTATGACAAAAAATGTTGTATGGAGGCCCACGTCTTCAAATAGCCCCCATACCTCCCGATACTGGGTAATTTTATGATTTGTGCGACATTATTCACCGGAATTCTAACAAATTTCGTATTTAAAGTTCGTAATGGATACTACAGTCTATGACAAAAAAAAAAAAAAAATCTTTTGTAGGTTCAAGTTTTCGTATGTCCCCCATATAAAGATGCATCCCGATATTCGGTATTTTGATGATTTTAGCGACATTATTCACCGAAATTGTTTCAAATTTGCTATTTGACGTTCGTATGGGTACTATAGCCTATGACAAAAAATTTCATATGCAGGTCCACGTCTTTGTATAGTCTCCATATAACAGTTTTGATTTAAGTGGTAGTTTCCGGCATTTTTTTTTTTTTCAAATTTGTTAAAGTCCTTCCAAATGGTGGAGGGCATTAAAAGTTCGACCTGGCCGAAGTTAGCTGTTTTTTTACTTGTTAAATTGATAATTTGTTGACGGAAGATTTTCTATTCGCTCACGAAGATATTGAAATGTATTCACAATTCGTTAAGAAATGAGTTTCTACGCCCTATAAAAATCTTATTGACAATTTTAGTCAGAAGGTCTTATCTTAATTGACCGATATTTAGTATTTTATGACGGAAGTTATCTAGTCCATGAGAAACAAGTGGTTATTTCGAAAGGGACCCGGGCTTCAGGGCATCACCCTGGGTGTGTCTCTGCTGGTAAGAATAAGTACAAGTGGTAAGTACAACTTCTTTAGAGGAATTTATACTCACTGATTAAATCGTGAACCTATGTTGACGTATTGAGGACCACCTTCAATGGGTGTAATATTAACTTTGTCACTCCGTTTGTAACATCCCTAATGTTTGACCTAGACCCCATGATCAGCATAAAATTCTAAGTCGATTTAACGATGACCGACTGTCTGTCAGTTCATTTGACGTAGAGCTTCAAAATTTAGTACAACTATTGTGTTATGTCTAGGATTTTTGGCATTGAACATGAGTTATATCGGTCGACGTTTTCGTATAGCCCACATAAAACGGAACCTCCCTATATTTGGTATTTTGATGATTTTCGCCATATTTTTTCACGGATTTGTCTAAAAAATGGTGTTTGTATTTCGTAATGGGTTCCAGCTCAGGTGGCGGAGCATTGTACGTCCCGACATTCCGCATTTTGATGGTCTTAAATTGTGAAAATTCTATTGTATTGAATATTTTTTGAGGGACTTTAAACTACGCACCCAGAATTCGAAGTGTGAAAATACAGCCTATTATCGACAAAATGAGTCCAAAACCTTTGAAATTACGAAAATGAAGAGGACTATACTATAGAGGACTATACTATATCTTAGAAGTTAATCGCCATAATTTAATTTTTTTTCGAACAGTGTCTGGCTTGCTTGTTTGGGATACCATAGTATTTTGTTGTTGCAAAATCGTCAGGCAAAATCCCATTATTGTTGTTTTTATAAAAACAACGTTTGTTTATGAGTGGAGAACGATGGTAATGTTTACCAGGGGGTAAGGCAGGGAATACCTAGGTTTCGGAAAGAGCCACCAATCCTCATCAGTTCCCTTGTTTCTTGTCTGGGATATTCTCCCCAGAAGTTATTTTGAAAAATAACTTCTATGACAAAAAACATTTTTTTTTTTTTTTTTTTACCCAAGTGACGAGATCGTAAGCTCAATAGAAGAGGAACAAAAGAATTACATAAAACTAAAATTCTTTTGGAAAATCTTCTAAATCTTACAACCGCACTTATAAACATTTTCATCTTTCTCCACTTGTTATGATTTCGTTCAGCCTGAACGAAGTAACATAACCATGTAAGTTTGTTTTGTCTCTTACAACAAAAACCCCTTCGTCGACCGTGCCTGTGTCTATTAATAGAACAGTGTTTGGCTTGCTTGTTTGGGATACCATAGTATTTTGTTGTTGCAAAATCGTCAGGCAAAATCCCATTATTGTTGTTTTTATAATTTTTAAATTTTTAAAATTTTTTTTCTTTATTGAACGAAAGCAAAAAATGTCGGAAATAGCATCAAATTTCAGAATAAGTTTAGATTTGTTCGAATTGGTCACTATTGGCACGAATAATGGCCTTCAAACGGCCAATGAAACCATCACACGCTGCCCGAATGTTGACCTGCGTTATTTTGGCCCATTCCCGGCGAAGCGCTTGCTTGAGGTGATCGGCATTTTGGTACTTTTTCGTTTAAACCTTGCTTACCAAAATACTCCAGACACAATAGTCAAACGGATTGGTATCCCGAGATTTTGGCGACCATTGTGCGTTGGAAATGAAGTGAGGAACCTGATTTTATAACCATTCTTGGGTGGTGTGTGCTGATTGCGATAATGCTGAGTCCTGTTGGAATGTCCAAAGTCTGCGGCCAAAATGTTTGTATGCCCAAGGTTTAATACACCCTCCAGAATATTTTCGCGATTATTTTGATGTCACGGTAGATTAGTACGAGCGGAGAGCGACCATCAGTTGTCATGGCGGCCAACATGGCCTACGCTTGAGTTCTGGTGGCCAACCGAAGATGCACATTTTCAGCTAACCTCTTTGGCATGTAAACACGATCATTTTGTTTGTTTACGAACCGCTCGATAACGAATGTTTTCTCATCGGAGAAAACCAAATTCGGTGGTTCGGCCAAGCGATGCTACTCTTTAGCACTTTTGAATCTATTTTCATTCTGTTGCGGTGTAAGATCTTGCACTTTTTGGAATTTCAATGGAATTATCCCGAACTCATTTTTCAATATTTGCCGAATGGAATATTGCGATATGTTCAGCTCACGAGCCATTTTTCGGCCACTGCGACGCGGATTATGATCAAGTTTCTTCTTCACTTTCCGAACCATTTCTGCTGATGTTACTGTTTTCTTCCGTAAATTTGCTTGACGTCGGGCTATGCTACGGTAACGATGACTGGCACGAGACACAAAAGATTTATTCACAATTAAATGCTGGAGTGCTCTAACAATAGCCACTTGTGGTTTTTCAAACAAATATAAAGAAATCACACTATCAGTCTTGAATTTCATCACGAATAACTTTTTTTCTGGAAAATTCTCACCAAAAAGCTTCTGTATGCTTGTAAACAATATAATGACCTGTCACTTGAATAATTTTAACAGCTGTCGGACGAGTGGCTTAGAAATGACAGCAAACCGAAGTTAGTTGCAGTGTTTTCATCTCACCCTGTAATACTTTCTGGGGTCTATAATGAATATTTCGAGGAGTTACAAACGGAATGACAAAGTTAATATAACCTCCATAGAATGTTGGAAGTTATAGAAAATGAAGCTATATTGTTAATGACAGAGAGTTTGGAGGAAGTCACACATCTTAGAAATCGATTTAATTTTATAAAAATATTACAAATTTTTTGCCCACCATTGTGCCGGATAATCGCTGAATCAAACGGAATGGCAAAGTTAATATACCCTCTATAGAATGTTGGAAGTTATAGAAAATGGAGTGATATGGTTAATTACCGGGTGTGTAGGCTTTGAAAAATGTTGACCCCTCTTTTGGGGGAAGTGATAAAGTTTAGAGAAAGTGACACATCTTAGAAATCGACCTAAATTTTAAAAAGTATTACAAATTATTTGCCCACTATTAAGTCGGATAATCACTGGATCTGTCCAATACCGTATAACTGGATAAATAATTTCAATTCAAAATTTTCCCCATGTTCTCCATAAAAACATCAGAAAAATTTTCTTTTTTTCTAAATATCTACAACCGTTTTCGATTTTACAGAAACCTTAAAGAAAATTGAAAATAAAATTGTCAACGAATCTGAATTGGAAGGTGCTTTGGAAGGTGTTCTAAGACTTCAAGATGTCTATCGTTTCAATACATCCGATATAGCCAGTGGTCTTTTCCAGGGTGTTCAATATGAGTAAGTTTTACATACATTTCAAAATTGTTTCTATGAATTCCAACTTAATTCTCCTTTTTTAGTGTCCATTTTGATGCTCGTCATTGTTTCGATTTGGGAAAGAGGGCGGCTGAAACAGAATACGTAAAGTTGGGATATTTCTGGTTAAAAGAAGCCTTAAAGAGGTCCGCAGATGATGCGAGTGTTGATAAATTGGATATTGAATTGGCCATAGCTCATGTTAAATTCAAATTGGGAGACATCAAGGGGGCCAATGAAACCTATGCCGAGCTATCCAGTCGTTATCCTGAAAATGAAAAAGTGGCCAAATTGTTTTCAGAATTTGTTGTAAACTCGGCCGATAAGCCGCAATACTATGTCGATTACAGTGTGGAGCATGAGGTAGATGAAAAAATGGCGGAAATTAAAAATATATTCTCATATAATATAATAATTTCTTTGTAGCCCCCACCGGAGCATATATTCTCAGCTTCTCGTGAAAAGCTCTACAAGTACACATGTGCTGGTCTTATCAAGAAAACCCCGGCCGATGAACGTGATTTGCGCTGTGGCTATTTGGTGGAAACCCATCCCTTCCTTTGGCTGGCCCCCATTAAAGTAGAGGAACTACATCACGATCCACTGCTGGTTGTCTTCTACGACGTTCTCTCCGATAAGGAAATTGAGACATTGCGTGATATGACCAAACGGATTGAACGTGCCACTGTAATGAGTCCAAACGGGTCAGTGGTGTCCAAGGTGCGCACTAGCCAATTCCAATTTATACCCGTCACACATCATCCACTTTTGGGTAAAATCGATCAGCGTGTTGCGGATATGACCAATTTAGATATGAAATATGCGGAGGATCATCAATTTGCCAATTATGGTATCGGAGGACATTACAGTGAACATCATGATTATTTCTATATTGAATCAGTGAGTGAGCAAACACAAACCTTAAAATTTGAATTTGTATCAAAAAAAATTTTTTTTTTAGGTTAAAAAAACGACAATCAGTGATTACGATACCTTGGGAAATCGCATTGCAACCCTTTTGTTCTATGTAAGATTTTTGACAATAATTTTTTTATTTCCTAAAATCTTTATATATTTTTTTTATTTATACCCATAGCTAAGTGATGTTGAACAGGGCGGTGGCACTGCCTATCCTTATATGAAAACACTGGTAATGCCAAAGAAAGGCGCCGCAGCATTTTGGTATAATTTACATGCTTCCGGTGATCGGGATTGGAGAAGTCTTCATGGCGCTTGCCCCATCATTGTTGGTTCTAAGTGGGGTAGGTTTTGGGAATTTTTAAAACCTTGTCGATTCTTGCCATTAATTTTTGTTTGTTTTTTTATCTTCCAGTACAAAATCGTTGGATTCGAGAACACGACCAAAGTGAAAAAAGACCTTGTTACACCTTTAACGATAAAGTTGAAGAAATATTATAGACTTTAGTTTTACGATTTAGAATTATGTGATAGAATAAATTTATATAATTTACATATATTTGTTTTATTATACCCTATAACACTATGTGTTGAGAGAACTATAAGTTTGATTGAACCAAAAATTGGTAACACCTCAATATCGATCATTCTCGTTGTGGATCCGTTAATTTAAACCAAGTACAATTTTCATCTGGGTACCTCGGCACTTATATGACACGAATGCAAATTACAAGCATTACATCCCTATGAACATATCAGAAATACCAAAGTGACTTAGATGTCACAACTGGACGAGAGAAATCATTGGGGATGATATTGATTCCCATCACGAAAGTAACCTCCCCACATGTATATCGGGTGAAATAAAAACAAGTTAAAAAGCAGTAAGTTCGGCCGGGCCGAACTTTTAATACCCTCCACCATTTGCAACGAATTTGGAAATTTTCAAAAAATAAAATCCCTAAAAAATGCTGTTAAAATTTTAAAAATAACGAATATTGCCGTTATATTGAGGTCTATACGAGGTGGACATATATAGGCATTGTTTGTCATAAGCCATTACCATATTCAAATTCGAAACTTGAAATAAACGGTGAATAATGTAGCTAAAATCATCAAAATATCGTATATAAGGAGGTGCCGTTAAATTGGAGCTGTGCAAAGACCTGGACCAGCATAGACAATTTTCTGTCACAGGCTGTAGCATCCATTACGAACTTCAAATACCACATCTCAAACAATTTCGGTGGGTATTGTACCTTAAATCGTCAAAATACCGAATATAGGGAGGTACCGTTATATGGGGGCTATATGAAAACGTGGACCTACATGGCCCATTTACGAACTTAACCTGCCCACTGGAAAAATAAACAATTTTAGCCATCTATCTCAATTCATTCGAAAGATAGCGTGATTACTACAGACAGACAGACGGACATCGCTAAATCGACTTAGAATTTTACGCTGATCAAGAATATATACACTTTGTTGGGTCTGACATGAATATTTCGAGGAGTTACAAACGGAATGACATAGTTAATATACCCTACATAGTATGGTGGAGGGTATAAAAAAACTGCAACAAAGTCAAACGCCATAATTTTGACATTTTTTGTTAAATTTTATTGAATGAAAGCAAAAAATGTCGGAAACAGCATCAAATTTTAGAATAAGGTTAGATTTGTTCGAATTGGTCACCTTTGGCACGAATTATGGCATTCAAAGGGCCAATGAAACCCTCACACGCTGCCCTAATGTTGCTTCGCGGTATTTTGACCCATTTCCAGAGAAGCGCTTGCTTGATCGACACTTAGGTATTTTTTAGTGCCAACCTTGCTTTCCAAAATACTCCAAACACAATAGTCCAACGGATTGATATTCGGAGATTTTCGTGGCTATTGTGCGCTGGAAATGAAGCGAGGAACCTCATTTCGTAATCATTCTTGGGTGGCGAGTGCTGTGTGCGATGGTGCTGAATCGTCTTGGAAAGTTCAAGGTCTGCGGACAAAATATTTGCATGCCCAAGACTTTAATACACCCTCCAGAATATTTTCACGATAATATTCGGCATTTATTCTGATGCCACGATCGATTAATACAAGCGGAGAGCGACCATCGGCTGTTATGGTGGCCCACACCATCACCATGGCCGCCGCTTCTGGTGGCCAATCGAAGGTGCACATTTTCAACTGACCTCGTTGTCAAGTAAACACGATAACTTTGTTTGTTCACAAACTGCTCGACAACGAATGTTTTCTCATCGAAGAAACCCAAATTCGGCATTTCACCACTTTCGGCCAAGCGAAGCAACTCTTTAGCTCTTTTGAGCCCATTTTCATTCTGTTGCGGCGTAAGTTCTTGGAATTTTCGGAATTTCAATGGCTGAGTGTGCGATGGTGCTGAGTCCTGTTTGAATGTCAATGTCTGCGGACAAAATGTTTGAGTGCCCAAGCCTTTAGTACAACCTCCAGAATATTTTCGCGATAATACTCGGCATTAATTCTGATGCCACGGTCGAATAATACGAGCGGAGAGCGACCATCGACTGTTATGGCGGCCCACACCATCACCATGGATGCCGCTTGAGTTCTTTTAGCCAACCACCGCTTGAGTTCTGTTAGTGCACATTTTCAGCTGACCTCTTTGGCAAGTAAACACGATAATTTTATTTGTTTACAAACTGCTGGACAACGAATGTTTTCTCATCGGAGAAAACCCAATTCGGCCGTTCACCACTTTCGGCCAAGCAAAGCATTTGTTTCTAACATGGAGAAGGAAGCGAGATAGACCCATAGTTACTTTTGAGGATCTCCACAGAATCACTTTCTGAGTTGATTTATGCATGTCAGTCCGTCTGTCCGTCCGTCCATGTATTCTTGTGAACAAAATGCAGGTCGCATTTATTATCCGACTGAGATGAAATTTTGCACAAATCATTTGTTTGCCCAAGGACGAACCCTATTGAAATTGGAGATAATCGGTCAAAATTTAGATATAACTCTCATATATATATTCGTCCGATTTGCCTTTTATTGTGAACCAAACGTGTGATATCTGTCCGAATAGTATGGAATTTTGCACGTACGATCTGATTGGACCTCAAAATAAGTATGCCAAATTTGATCGAAATAGGTTCAGATATATCTGTTGCTCTCATATATATTTTTTATCCGATTTGTTATTTTTGTCCTCCGCAGCCGTAATATGCAGTCTGTAACAACAATATTTGGGGAAATATATCAAATGCAGCTCAGAAATACCTTTGCTAAATTTTATCTAGATCGGTTCAGAATTGGATATAGCTTCCATATATAACTTAGTCCGATTTACCCTTTATTGTGCACCAAACGTCTAATATTTTTCCAAATGGGATGGATTTTGGCACATAAGGTCGAATTGAGTCTAGAAGGTAGTATGCCAAATTTGGTGAAGATAGGTTCAGATATAGCTATAGCTCCCATATATATTGTTCATCCGATTTGTTATTTTTTGTCCTACGCAGCCGTAATATGCACTCTGTAACAACAATATTTGGGGAAATGTATCAAATGCAGCTTAGAAATACCTTTGCTAAATTTTATCGAGATCGGTTCATATTTGGATATAGTTTCCATATCCAACTTCGTCCGATTTACCTTTTATTGTGCACCAAACGTCTAATATTTGCCCAAATGGTATGGAATTTGGCACATAAGGCCGAATTGAGTCTAGAAGGTAGTGTGCCAAATTTTGTGAAGATCGGTTCAGATATAGCTATAGCTCCCATATATAATGTTCATCCGATTTGTTATATTTGTTACCCACAGCCGTAATATGCACTCCGTAACAACGATATTCAGGGAAATATATCAAATACCGCTCAGAAACATCTTTGCCAAATTTTATCGAGATCGGTTCCGATTTGGATATAGCTCCCATATATATCTTTATCCGATTTCAAATTAATTGTGCACCAAATGGGCAATACAATTCCGAATTTAAAAGATACAAATGCTTCGGCATATTGAGTCTTTTGAACTTTAAATTATAATTTTAATCGTAGCGTGTATGATTGAAGTCTCCCATAAAAACTTTTAATAGTTATGTGGAGCTCTACTACATTAGCAAAGCGGTGTAGGGTATTATTGGCTATACATGCTTAATTTGGATATCAGCATCAATGTAACAGTCAAATTTGACTTTCTCGTGTATTTGTGATTTCCTGGAATTAAAAAAATCCGCGCTTTAATGGATATTTTCGTATCTGTTTGCATAAAATTCATGATACATTTCCGATTGTTCTATGAAATTAATGCATAGCCTACTTGTAATACAGAGGGTATATATAGCTGTATAGCTTAATGTGGCACATATGCCTACCATATGTATGCTGCGAATTGTATGGGTTGTAATTTCCCTTATATACACAACTATAATACGTATTTTTTTGTTAAAATTCACAAAAATAATCTTACCTTCGCCATTTTGCCAAATAAAATGCAATTTCTAATTTATTTTACCATGGATTGAAGTCCAGTAGTCATTTGTTTTATTTTTATTCAAAACTTCAATCAGACAAAAATCTATAGACATTACATTACCCTTTTATATCCATCAAACTTTGTTCCTCCTTTTTTGATTTTTGTTAAAATAAAACAATTTATTACAATGTTTTTTTTTTTTGTTTTTGTTTGTGCTTCTTGCAAAAAATAAAAACGATAAAATATGAAATCCATTTTTAATTTGTTCATAACGCTCCTGTAATAGCTTAGCTTTCACGAATAAAAATCGTATGGTTGATTTTGTTGTTATTATTTGTTGAATTCCGCCAATAAATATTATTTTAATAATTCATTTATTTTTTATTAAGAAAACATTTAGATGTTGTTCATTTGCATGAATGGCTTTTAGTTTTTTTAAAATTAGTTGCTTTGTATTTTTTTTTTTGGGATTTTTCAAATGTGCTCCATGTTCTTTTTTGTTGTCATTTAAATAAAATGTTGTTTTGTTTTTATATTTAAAAAAAATGTCCATGCCTTTATGTTGCATTTTATTCCAACGGCCAATATGAGTTTCATTTAGAAATGGGACACCTAAAGAAATATATGTGATTTTCTGTGTATATATATAATTTTTTTTTTTTTAAATAGTCATGGTAAATATATATGTGTGTCTATTGGTTGTTCTGTGTTTTTTTTTTTCAAAAAATTTACTATAATAATTATAACAACATTTATTTAAAATAGTTTTGTTTTTGTGTATTTTTTTTTAATACTGTCGTACTTATTTAAATTTAATTTTTTGTAGTGCTTTTTTATTTTAAATATATATTTTTTGATATTTTTTAATGTATTTTTTCCTATATATCTTTTTTTTAAAATAAGGTGGTTTAGAGTTCAATTTAGTTGTTGTTGTTTTTTTTTTTTAATTTAGTTTCATCGTCAGTGGTACTTTTTGAAAGGGATTGTCACTAGAGGGGTGTATTCTGTTAGACATTCAATATTGTTTATATTATATATGCATGTAAGTAGATTTGTATATGAATAATTATTTTTATTTATTTATTTTTTTTTTGTGTAGATAGCTTAAAAATGTCACCAGTTAAAAATTCTCAATAAAGACATCAAAGTTTATTGTTTCATTATTTTTTATTTCATATTTTTATTTTGTTTTTTTTTTTTTTTGCTTAACTTAAAAATTTAATTGAATTGTGTTTGCCCCCTCGTTGTTGGTGTTTGGGAGGCAAGGTTTATTGAAATTACAGTTTCTTAATTAAGGATTTTTTCAACTTTATTATTGTTCATTACATATTTCTTGTTTTTATTTGTCACATTTATATTTGGTAATCGTGAACATTAAGTTTAAACATCTAAAAAAACATTTACGGGATTTGATATAAATATGCAATCGATTTAATGGTTACAAATGGATCCCAGGGGTTCCATAGATACCCCTCACCAATAACTATCTTTACTTTTAATATTTCTTCCTCAGATATGATGATTTTCCTAAAATGCTTTGTTGTCCATCGACAAACAAAACTCAGCAACTAAAATTGTTTATGTATTTTTTTTTATTAATTTTTTTTATAATTTTTTTATTTTCACAAAAATTGGTTCATATTTGGTTTGATTTTATTTCTTATTTCTGCTTTTGGAGAAAATTCTCCTCTTTAGATTTCATAATTACGGAATTTATTGGCCACATCAGAGTTATCAGTGCCCCATTCCTGTTTGCGATTGCCATAGTACAGGGCAGCACCACCCTCGGAGGCCCGACGATGAGCTGGATTGGGTGAGGCAGCCGATAGGCAACTAGTACCGGCCCCAGTTCCTCCTGTCTCTGGCAACATGCGATCCTTGGTCTTGGGTGTAGCCCAGTGCATAGACTTTTGTAATTGAAGAGAAAAAATGGAGAGATATAGAAATGTGGAAAAAGGAAGGGCATAAAAATCACACATACACACATGGTAATTAACATATTTTTAATCACACGATATACATACATACACACTACAACATCAAGATTGTTTGTTTTGGATACTTATGGATCAAGAGGTGGTTGGTTGGTTGATTGCTGGGAGTAAATTGTTTGATTTTTTTTACTTTGGACAGGTTGAAATTTTTTGTGGTTTAAATAGATTTTTTTCTTTTTGCATTTGATATTAATTACCTTATGGATTTTTTTAATAGATACAAAAAAGTAGAGGAGAAATAAAACACATGCAATATCAAAACTAATTTTGAAGGTAAATATTTCATTAATTTTATTAGCGTTGTAATTTTAATTAGAAAAATTTTTGGCGGCTTCTCATACAAAATACAAAATTCTATAGAATTTTATAGGAAACTCACATTTTACATATTAAGGAGAAGGACGACTTTATTATCCTTCAAATCAATTAAGACATATGATAATTGTTAATCCCTATAAATTAATAAAGTATCTTAATACACCCTTACACACGTTTAATGAATTTGAGATATGTCAATAAGAACTGAAAAAAATGTAAAAAAGCAGTAAGTTCGTCCAGCCGAACTCTCCACCAAATGGAACAAATTTGGAAATTTTCCAAAAAATAAATAATTAAAACAAGTTAAAAAGTATCAATCGGATCTGCCGACAGACAAATACCCTCAGCCATTGTTCGATTATTTAAATATATTTTGATATATTTTTTTTTGGAACCGTACATGGCCCTAGGGTCTAGGTAACTGTGTTAATTGAATATAAATAAATAAATAAATAAATAAAAAAATAATCATATTTAAACTGTTGAACCTCTATGGAGTAGGTTCTGAGGGAATGGGCCAGTATTGTATATTTCGCATCGGACCTTAATAAATACGATATACATATGGGATAACTTGGTGACAGTTTCGTAACTTCCTTCACTTTACATGACACATTGGTCCGATCTCTACCATCTTTAAAACAGATCTTGTGTTGATGGAAATATTTAGATGTGCCAAATTTTGAATGGAATCGGATGTTAATCTCGCGTTTTATGAGCTTCATGTATATTCAAAATATTGATCCTTTGTGGGGGAGGTACAACAAGTAGTGGACCAATATATTCCATCTTCACAACATATATTGTCTTAGCAGAAATAATAAAATGTGCGAAATATAAAGAGAATCTGATGCTGATTTCGCGTTTTATAACCTTCATACATCTACAAAATGTTGACCCTTTGTAGAGGAGGTACCAGAAGGAATGGTTCGATCTCTACCGTGTTTACAACAGATCCTGTGTTGATATTTTGATGTGCCAAGTCTAAATGGAATCTGATATTAATTTCGGGTTTTATGAGCTTAATGGATATTCAAAATTTTAACCTTTTGTGGGGGAGATACCAGACAGATATATTCCTTTTTATCACCAGACCTTGGGTTAATAAAAATATTGGGATGTGTGAAATTTGTAGAGAATCGGACTCTTACATCACATTTTATATGAGTTAAATTTATTCAAAATTTTGACCCTTTGTGGTGGAGGTACTTGGTGGAGTGGACCGATATTGCCCATTTTCGCATCTGACCTAGCGCTAACGCAACTATTAAGATTTGCAAAGATGGAGCAAATTTGACAATCTGTCCTCTTTCTGAGCAGAATATATATTTTTCAAAATTTCGAACTTTTGTGGGGAGGTTGGATCAAAATTGGATTATCGTTTGTCTTTCTGTGCAGAAAATATATTTTTTTAAAATTTCGACCTTTTGTGGGGAAGTACCAGAAGGAGTGGACCGATATTGCCCATCTCCGAACTCGATCTAAGTTTGACAAAAATATTACGATATGACAAGTTTAGACCAAATCGGATACTCCCTTCGAGAGTTATCATGCGCACCAGCCAGACAGATGGGCGCTAGATCGACTCCAAATATCCTGAAACGGATTTGGTTCAAAGATTCCAAGGGTATTAAACCGGTATTTCGACTAGGCACGTTTTGACCTTATCAAATGATATATATCCTCTCCAGCCATATGGCTGAGGGTATAATAATTTATTAAGAATTCTGTTAAAATCTGAAGAAAGCAGAATACCATAGCCATTATAGGATTCAAGTACGAAATTTGAAACAATTCCAGTAAATAATGCCTCTAAAATCATCAAAATACCGAATATAGGAAGGTACTATTTTATGGGGGCTATATCAAAACTTGGATCTGCATAAGCAATATTCTGTAGTATCCATTACGAACATCAAATACCAAATTTGAAACAATTCCGGTGAATAATGTCACTAAAATCATCAAAATACCGAATATCGGGAGGTGCCGTTCTATGGGGGCTTCACGAAGGCGTGGACCTGCACAGAAATTTTTCTGTCATAGGCCGTCCATTACGACTTTCGAGTACCAAATTTGAAAAATTTCCGGTGAATAAAGTCGCCGAAAAAAGGGAAAAAAGGGGGCTATACGAAGACGTGAAACTGCACAGACAATATCCTGTCAAAGGCTGTAGCATCCATTACGAACATCAAATACCAAATTTGAAAGAATTCCGGGGAATATTGTCGCTAATATCATCAAATTACCGAATATCGGGAGGTACCATTTGGGGGCTATACTAAAACGTGAACCTACATGGTCCATTTTCAATACCAAAAGTCCTGCAGACATAATATACATTTGAGTAAAATTTCATCAATCTACTTCAATTAGTTCGGAAGCTTGAGTTATTTTCACAGACGGACGGACATTGCTAAAGCGACATAGAAATTTATGCTGATCAAGAATATATATACTTTGTGGGGTCTAAAATGTATAGTTCGAGGTGCTACAAACGGAATGACAAACCTAACATACCTTCCATACTATGGTGGAGGGTATAAAAATGTTAATATTAAGGCGTTTGGCATTGTTGCCGTTTTTTATCTCACCCTTTATATAAACCATTTTCAATACCAAAAATCCTGCAGACCGAAGACACAATTGAATTAAATTTTATCAACCTACTTCTTTTCGTTCGGGAGCTAGAATGATTTCCACAGACAGACAGACAGACTCACGATGGACTTCGCTAAATCGACATAGAATTTTATGCTGGTCAAGAATATATATACTTTGTGGGGTCTAAAATGTGTAATTTGAAGTGTTACAAACGGAATGACAATATACCCCCCATACTATGGTGGAGGATATAAAAAACAAACATTCAGCCACATTTATTTTTCAAATATCCCTTTTGGAATACTTCCGTTTGGATCATAAAATTTTTAATGACTACATTACATGTCCCCCAACATTGACCATAAAAGACATTCCAAAGAAAAAATCCACAAAGTGTTATAATATGAGGGTTTCCTGCATGAACTTTTCTCTCCCATAAAAGCATACGTGTGTTGACGCTTTAATTGCATGAATGAACCAATGCGTCCTGCAGAGAGAAAACTGTGACTGTGACGTTCGATGTCCCTCCTTGTGGGACCTTGTGACATTTGAATGAAGTTACGTCGTTAAAAACGAATCATCACCATCGTGCCCAACACAAAGGCAACGACACCCACATTCCTTGACCACATTATTCAAATGATGTGGGAACGAGATATTGCTAATGAAATTGATTTTTAAGGAGGGTACAAAATGACAAAGGGACGACTTCATCAATTTTAATGAAGCTTGATTGGGAATGCTATGCTTAAGTTAGAGGTTGAAAATCCCGCGAAACAACGATATACGTTATGTTGCAGCACATGTCACGCTGGCATTGGAGGCTCGAATGATTTAAAAACAGGAATTTTCGATCTTATACAGAAGGAGAGGAAACAAGTAAAAAAGCAGCTAAGTTCGGACGGGCCGAACTTTTAATGCCCTACACTATTTTAAAGGAACTTGAACATTTTCCAAAAAAAAAATCCGAGAACTACCACCTAAATGGAAACCGTTATATGGAGACTATACCAAGACGTGGACCTGCACACGAAATTTTTTGTCATAGGCTGTAGTGCCCATTACGAACTTCAAATACGAAATTTGTTACAATTACGGTGAATAATGTTGCTGAAATCGACAAAATACCGAGTATCGGGAGGTACCGTTATATGTGGGCTATACGAAGACGTGGACCTGCATATAAAAAATGTTGTCATAGGCTGTAGTACTCATTACGAACTTCAAATACGAAATTCGAAATAATTCCGGTAAATAATATTGCTAAAGTCATGAAAATACCGGAGGTAGCGTTATATGTGGCCTACACGAAAATGAGGACCGACTAAACTATGCATGTATGCAAAATGTTAGCCTTCTATCTCAATTCGTTCGAAAGATAGCGTGATTACAACAGACAGACGGACATCGCTAGATCGTCTTAGAATTTTACGCTGATCCAGAATATATACACTTTGTAGGGTCTATTATGAATATTTCGAGTAGTTACAAACGGAATGACAAAATTAATATACCCTCCATGGAATGGTAGAGGGTATAAAAAGAAGAAATCACTAATGAACCCCTACAAATAATGGAAATACTCATTTAGTCAAGATAGTTCGAAAATGGATTGGTATTCTTCGATTATGGAGCAGCCAAAGAGTTCGAAATGAATATCAGAATGCTTCTATAATCAGCAGTGCGTTATCGGTCCCAAGTGAAGATTTTTTCATTTTCTTTTCAAATATCTATATGGCAACTGGATACTATAGATTAATGACGGAATTCTCTACTCGATCCTTGGGAAGATGATCCTGATTTGTGTAATTTCGGTCTCAGTTGTTCGTGTTGTAGCAGCTCCTATGGCTGTTTCCTTTCCGATTCTTCTCAAACTGGTTCTGCTTCTAAGTCCAGATTCAAGAAGGACGCAACCTCTTCAGTTTTGGTCCATTACGATACCGGAGTGAGAAGAGTAGGTTTGGCTGGGCAGTGAAAGAGATGCAGCGTGT